TTAATTTTTGAAAGCACATACTGATTAGCTCAAACCACATGACAATAGAGTCTACTCCTACCTAATAACATTGTAGATTAGAATTGGCAAAAAGCCAAAAATACTATAGAGCTTCTTAACGAATCAAGAGTTTTATGTTGCTATTGTTATTAGCCTTTATTGGCATAAGCCTAAACAATAAAATCATACAAAGTCATCCAAATACATTAATAATCCATACACATACAATACATAAAAGACTAGCTAGTCACCATTAAATAAATTGGGCAACTTTAGATCTAACTTTAAAGATAATTGCTAAATATGTAACCCTGTTACCGCAGGGTTGGCTGAGTTGAGACCTTCCAGATGAAGTTGGATTCCCATCATTGGCCTTTTGGGGCTGGGGCTGATGGGAGTCTAACAATATCTGAAAAACAGTAGGTTCTCCCCATCCTTGCATTATGGTAATAGCAGTGTACAGTGGTGCCTCGCAAGACGAAAAGAATCCGTTCCGCGATTCTCTTCGTCTAGCGGTTTTTTCGTCTTGCGAAGCAACCCCATTAGCGGCTAAGAGGATTAGCGCTATTAGTGATTTAGCGGCTTAGCGGCTATTAAAGGATTAGCGGCTAAGCTGCTAAAAGGCTATTAGTGGCTTAGCGCCTTTGAAAAAGGGGGGGGAAGCGGGGGGGGAAATGGCGAGACTCGCAAGACGTTTTCGTCTTGCGAAGCAAGCCCATAGGGAAATTCGTCTTGCGAAGCGCATCGCAAACGGAAAACCCTTTCGTCTAGCGGGTTTTCCGTCTTGCGAGGCATTCGTCTTGCGGGGCACCACTGTACTCCTCTGCATGCTTATTTGGAAATTAGTCCCACTATGCTCAGTCTGTTATGTTTTTTCTCAGGTTAAGTGCACAGAACACTACAATACTAAACACAAATATCTCCCCATAACAGCTAAAATATTGTAAAGTCAGTGCATGGGAGCATAGCCGTAGGGGCAAGTTGTACTGTTAAGTACCAATACTAAAGAAGTTTCCTCATTAGGACCTGTGGGAAAGTTATGACGCCCAAGAAATATGACAGGTAAAATGATGTCCACTAGTACCTGCAAATCTTTAACTGAAGCTGCATGCTTGATTGTACACTTTACAACCCACCAACCATTTGGGGTCTGTGCAAAAAAGATGGTGAGGGGGCTGTAAAATGCCTTTATATTGAAAACGCTTCTGGTACTCTAAACTATGCAGAATATCATCTGGTGCGCCACCAGGACTCCCCAAGTTGCAACTTGCAAGTGGAATTTTCAGAACATTTTTGTTAAACGTATGTGCTAATAATAGGTTACTCCTGGAATCTCATGACCTAATTTTTTTAACTCAGATATCCTCTCTGCTGAGGAAATATGATAGTTCCCTTTTACAAAGGGAAATCAAATTCCGTTTCCTTAGTATCATTTACGCTGGTGGGAGTAAAACCAGTTCCTCTCTCGGCCCCCCACTCCAAATTCCCTTTGCCTCCCCCTCGGAGTTTCCTTCTCATTATTGCAAAGATTCCCCTTTTGCATAAAAATAAGACCATCTACCTCAAATGGTATGGTATCTTTCTTTAAAGGAATAGGGAAGAAATGCCCCATTGATTTATTAACTTTAGCATTTAAGAAATTTGATAGCAAATTATTCTGCAGAAGACAGAATTTAATTTAACCTTTTTTGTGTACAGTGGTACCTCGGGTTAAGAACTTAATTCATTCTGGAGGTCTGTTCTTAACCTGATACTGTTCTTAACCTGAAGCACCACTTTAGCTAATGGGGCCTCCTGCCGCCGCAGCACGATTTCTGTTCTCATCCTGAAGCAAAGTTCTTAACCCGAGGTACTATTTCTGGGTTAGCGGAGTCTGTAACCTGAAGCGTCTGTAACCTGAAGCGTATGTAACCCGAGGTACCACTGTATTTGATTAGGTTTCACATGAAAGGTTGGGCCACAGTAGATTTGTTAGTCTTTAAGGTGCAAAGAGACTCTGTTGCTTTCAGTATAACAAACTAACATGGCTAACCCTCCAGAAACCAAAGTTTGCAACTGCTTCAAATTTTCTCAACATACTGTCAGTTTTAAAAAAGAGGATCAGTCATAGCACAAAATAGTTTCATATCTTCTTAGACCAGGGCCAAAAGAGTAGGAGTAGGGAAACATGGTGGGACTTTCCTAGGAGGGTAAATGGAAACATCTTTCAGTACTGCACTCCATGTGATAAATTTTTAGCTCTCAAGTATGAACCTTTGTTTCACACAGTTCCCAGATTGAGGCAAACCATCTCCTCTTAGACTGCTATCTGAAGAAATTATGAACTCACATGCAGTGCAAGCCAAGCCAGGCCAAACTACGAGTGCCTGTCTGACACCGCAACACATTGTAAGAGTTTGCCAATTTTCAGCAGGCCCCTCTAAACTCTGTCCTATCTGGACTGAGTCAGGTTGATTCATCCTCATCCAGTGGTTACAGGCATGTATTCAAGAACACACTACCTTTAAAAATATATTATGAAAATGAGAACTAGGACTAGTGGAACAGAGCTATGTGATCCCTGCCTTTTGTACATAGGTGCAATCCTGATCGGTTTTTAAAAGAGAGGGGGTAGAACATTAACAGCCTGTCCTTCCTGCAGCAAGCTTACCTATGCCCCTTATCCACTGCATGAGGACAGGCAATTGCACTGCCAGTGCAAAATCCACCTAGTACTTCTAGTATTCATTTCTCAACATAGCTTCTCTTCTCTAAACATTTCCAAAGTGAAGCATAATATGCAGAGTCACACTGGCTAAGGCTTCATGAAGTATCAAGAAAGAAAAATGGGAGGCAACTATTCACAAAACATTCCAAGGGTGTTTATCAAAGACTACAATGACTCTCATAATTGCACTCTGTTATAATCAACATCCACATTGCTCATGTTATTGATGTGTACTTTAGATTCAAGAATCTGCTGCGTATACTAGATTGAGTTTCAGGCAAGTGATAGCCTGAATCAATGGGCAAACCTGATAAGCAATGGACCAACAGCTTGGCATTTGTGTGTGAAACCATCATGTAATGTACTTATTTTGCTTGTGTCAGCATGTCACCTACAAAAGAAGAAGTGGGCTTGGACATGAGTGAAACAAATGTGCAATAATGAGAGCAGACCCATTAGCACATGATGAAAGAATTGACATTTAGAAAACCTCAAATATGGCAACTTCAGTGGATTGCATGAACTTGCCTTCAAATTTAGTTGAATTCAACATTAAACTTTACACGAACTATGAAGAAAACAGGAAGAGTGGTGATTGTAAGAGAGACTACTGTTTGAAAATAAAACCAGCCCCTTTCTGATCTGACTAAAAAGTTTTAAGTACAATTTTTCAGCCCAGTCAACAGCATATGCAAATGTACCATATATGTGTTAAGGAAATATGGACAGGGCCTCCTCTTTCTTAATATTGCTTTGTTCACCAATGTTTATAAACCTAATGGTTGGTACCAGGTTTAGCATTCATCAGACACCTAAGAGTAATGGAGCTGAAATGTGTTTAAAGAGTTTGAGATACATAATATTAAAATAAACACTTTTGAGAAACCTTTCCTTTCCTTAACTATACTGGTAAGATCACAACATCAGGCCCAAGGTTCATTCTATTCCCAAAGTGGAGATCCAAATGTCTATGGGAAGCCCATAAACCTAGAATTTGAGGGGATATTGGGGTGGGGGTGGATGTTCTGAGATCATTGACTTAAAGATCCAAAATGTGAATAGTTCTTTGTCATTTAACTAGGAAATAAACTGAGCAAGTGGCTATAAAATCTCCTCTTATACCTGAAGTCCAGTGAATCTCTGATCACCAAGGGTGGAACACAGTAAAAGAAGTGGCTGATTGAATTAGAATATAAAATCAAGGGAAGACAGATGATCATTGGTTAAAATGCAACTTACCATGGTATGCATGTAACTCAGGAATATCAAACTTTCTGCCCGTGAACCTTCTAGTCCTCTCTGACAAGCTCTGGGGACTCTCTTCCACGGCCGCAACCTCTATCTGGCTTGCTCATGCTCTCTTGGAATGTGTCTTTGAACTGTGGTCAGGCCCCTTCATTTGCTGAATGAAAAAATATGGATAGAGTCAGGGTATATGTGTGTAGAAACCTCCTGCTTCCTGGCTGTATGGAGCATCAAGTCACACCCATTTGCTCCATCTACTCTGGCCTCTAGCACAGCCCACCGCAGGCATGCAACTCCCACAAGCCCTCAGGCGGAAAATAATCCCCCACTCCTGACATAGCCACTTGAGTTTGCCTGGGGGGCAAAAGCAGGACTTCTATAGTTTGACATTTTAGTTATTGTTTTTTAGGACCCACCCTATTTCTGCAATTTTATGTTGTTCTAAACTGCTTTTTAAAGATTGTGTTTTCACTGTTGTAACCCATGGCACAGGCTGCAACTGGGTGGAGGTGGTTGCCAGGCATAATTCATTTAAATATTTGATGGGTTTTTAATGAACTGGGGGTAGGAGAATTGAACACAGAGGAACTGCAAATCCAAAACCCTGCATAACTTGTGCTGGTTGCGATTGTAGTGTTTTAAGTCTGTTTTTAATGCTGCATTTTATACTGTTATACAGTGGTACCTCGGGTTACATACGCTTCAGGTTACATACGCTTCAGGTTACAGACTCCGCTAACCTAGAAATACTACCTCGGGTTAAGAACTTTGCTTCAGGAGGAGAACAGAAATCATGCTCCGGTGGCGCAGCGGCAGCAGGAGGCCCCATTAGCTAAAGTGGTGCTTCAGGTTAAGAACAGTTTCAGGTTAAGAACGGACCTCCGGAACGAATTAAGTACTTAACCCGAGGTACCACTGTATAATGTTGGATTCCACCCTGAGACCATCTGTAGGAGGATGGATAATAAAATTTAATCATCATCTAGGAACTGGCTCTTTGTTCAAAGGAAAACTGAGCTTACATTGGTTTAAAAACATTTTCAAAAAATATGTATTCATTTATTTAATAAAATTTACACACCACGATTGTAAAAAGCCTCAAAGCAGCTTGCAAAGAGATAAAGCAATTAAGTTCAAGAAAAATTCACAGCCATACTTCAAAACATACAAAAGTTTAAATACTAAAACAGATTCAAGTTACCTCAACTTTCTAAGGATCTGAGTAGGGTTGTCTAAACAAGAATGTTTTGAGTAGGCGCCAAAAAGAGTACATTGAAGGTGCATGCTTGATCTCCAAGCAGTGTACAACAGTATAAAACATACAAACACTGAAACAATGTGATAAAAACACAATTAAAATGCCATGCAAAAATACTGTGTACAAGGTCCAATCTTATACATCAGGTAGATCCTGCACTAAAAGATCAGTCTTCAGTAAACTTCTAAAGAAATGAAAGATAATGCTTCATGCAGGGCACAAGTGTTTATAACTGGAAAATTCCAATTTGTTTTTCCTTTGCTGGTAGCAGTGGAAGTATCCGACTTTTGTCAGTGAGGGAATAGGAGGTGAAGGGTGGGATGAGAAAAAATGAGTTATCTGCATTGAGATAAGTAAAACCTGAAGTTTCCACCGATGTGTTGAACAGTGTGAAAACCCATTTTATCACAGTGCACTAGAGCAAAACAACCAGGACATGATTTGTTTGGGAAGAAACAGACCAAAGTTTCACATTCACATTGCAGAATTTATAAACAAAGAAATAAAAAAAAACATTTTTGTAAAGTCAAATAGATGATATCCCTGTGAGATTAACTAAGTGAAGTATTAGCTTCATAAGACTTTTCAGCTCATCTATTGCACAATATTTGCAGAGTAAAAATGCAGAATGGTGCTTTTAAGGCAGGTTTTTCAACAATGCTTACTTAGGAAATAATTGAATACTTTCCCAAGTATTTAGGACTGAGTTGTAACAAGAACATCAATAGAATTCCACTGGCTCTCTAATAAACAATTCAAGTCTTCTTGTTTGATCAAGACTGTAATTTACACTGCTTTTCTGGTGTCTATGATGACTGAATTGATAAAGTACGTTGTTTAAAGTATGTGCCCCAAGATTTGTCTACTTTATCATGCCAATCAACACAGATGTCACGGGGCTAAACAGATTTTGATTTAGCACGCCAAAATTTTAACTGTATGGATCAATTAATATAAATACATCCTGAGGACTTCCATGGTAACCCTGAGCTTTTACTTGAAAAGTGTTAAGTGAGATCCAGAAAGCTCCATGTACCCTCTAAGGTAATTTAGTCAACATGGCAAGTTGAAACTGCCCCTTTCTAACACTCAGATGGCTAAGCATGGCATAAAGGGTTAAGAGAAATAATCCAATCTACTAATAAAACCCCAGATTAATGCATGTATCACGATTCGCTGTGTGCTGCTATCTCCACATGCCTACCGTGCCATCATATCTTCCAGTTCGGACTTAGCACACTGGCAACATGAAGCCAACAACTCAGTAAATCATACGAACACTTGCACAAATCCAGAGCCCTGCATTCCTTCTGCTGCATACACTGTTCATGAACAGAGCAGAGCTGTCTGTACTCCTTCAATGTTCAACCTGTAAATGCATGTGACACTTCCCCTGCAAATGCATAGAATACTTGGGATGAAATATTACAACTAGGATTTACAAGTTCCTGTCTTTGCAATCTTGCATGTCTGAAGCCCAGCCTTTGGTTTGTTTAGATTTTGCAGCTGTACTGGAATGAGATGTCTGTCCACTAAAGCTGCTCTTGAAAAACCTCTGGCAAATGGTAATGCATTCACATGCCAGCATTTGAAACATTCCATTTGCTATTGCTACACAACTGGGCTGACTGTTAACTGGCTGAAGTATCTAACAGGGGAAAAGCAATCATAATTAGCCTAAGGCCTTTTCATTTTTTGCCCAAGATTGCTTCGCCTTCAACAGTGGCAGAGCTTGCAGTTAATATGGTTCCCACGTAGGTAAGACGCATATGTTGACGTTCAGATTGTGATGAAGCCATTAAACTGAGATAAGAACTCCGGCCTAACTTGGTCCCAAAGTGATGTCTGGTGTAGAGGATCATATTCCCAACTGATTAACAGACCTGCCCACCTACCTGGAGGTGGTGTCCATGGCATATACCCCCCCCAAAAAAAGACAGCTGTCCTCATGTGTCTGTCCTATACAACCAGACCTCTGGGTCTAATGTTGGGGGACTGATTCCATGTCAATCTTCCGTTCTATACCACCACTGGAAGACTGGGCTCAGAAGTGCCGCCACACTTCAGAAGATGACCACCTTTGCTGGATCAGGTCCATCTAGTCCAGCAGTCTACTTCCAAAAGAGGCCAATCATTTGCTTCGAGGAAGCCGAAAAACAAGGCATGAAAGTTCTAGTCACTGGCATATGCTGCTGTGGAACAAAGAAGCTCCATTAAGCCATTGACAAAATGCTCCTCCGTGAATTTCTTCAGTACCAAAATGTCATTAACAAGTGAAGCAGTCCTTGGAAAGCTCAAAGGTGTATGTTGACTCCCCCCACAGAATCAGTTCTGAGCTGTGCCCAAGAAGTGTGCCCCTTCTGGGTTTCATTTGGTGGACTAACTTTATAGCATAGTCTTTATCTATCAGACGTGGGCCAGGTAGCATTCTGCCTTTCACCAGTAGAAGGGTAAACATGGCAAGCTGCTGGCAGTACATAAGTGTTCTGCTCCAGTCCATGCTCTGCTGCAGATAGAAAACTCACAACCATCAGTCTCTGTGGGAATGTTTCCAGGCAACATTACTCTGGCAGTCCAAAATTTCTGTTTCCTATTTCAGCAGGAGCTTTAAAAAAACACACACACAACAGAATGTACAAATGTTATATGGGTCAGATTACAGAAATGTTATGTAGTAGGACAGGATTAAAACATCAAACCCTGGTGCTGCCAGAGAATTTCCATTTCCGCCCCCCCCCAAGGCCTCTTGTCTTGCCCATCTACAGCTGTCACAGCAACAAGGGCTAACAAATCAAAATAATGGTGTCTGGTTTGTTAGGACCAGCGCTATTTTTTATTTTTATTTTTAAGAAAAGAAGGTGCCGGAACACACCATGAATGCCCTTGTTCTCTTATAATGGCAACAGTGTCCACCTGAGAGGTGCTGGAACTGAGTTCTGGCTGAAAATAGCCCTGGTTAGGACCCAGCCTAAATTTATTTCCTTTGGGACATGACAGCATCCAAGCACTCTGAATTTTCAGAGCAATGGAGCTCCCAAAATGTGGGAAGCCAAGGGACCACAATATCCTTATAAGAGGAATCATTAGCTAGATATAGCCCAGTTGCAGCACTGACCAACTTTTATTTGCAAGAGAAAGAAATGAGCAAACCCAGAAAAGTATGCAAGTTCTTATGTCAAAAATATTGTAAAGGGAGCTACAAGATGCTCAGAGCTCTGCATCAAGCTAAAATGTATGTTCTTATCAGTACAAAATTTCAGTTTAGGGGTCCGAAATACGTATGCATTCTTCAGGAAAACACTACTGGGCTAAGCGAACCATTTTCTACTGACTACTGTGTTGTTTGATTCTTTATTTTTATGAACACCAATTGATAGGAAAAAAAAGATTTGTAGAACTTTTGGACTGAGGTGTATTACACGTGGTTGTGTATTCTAAATAGAATGAGGACCATTGAAACTGCTTTCAAGATGGCACACAAGGACTCAAGACATCACAAAGGGAAGGAAGTTCAATGGCATATTTTAAATAGGAATTACAGAGAGACAGCTAGTCTAATTTGAGTTGACACCAAGAGAAGGAATTGTCTGTTGAGCCAGGATTACATGAAAGTGCACAAGATGAAAAACCCCAACATGATGAATGGAAGGTTTACTGTCTACAAACACTGAGTGTCTCATTACCCTTGCCAACATTTGTTGGCAAGCAAGTTTAGGAATTTACGGATGGATATGACCTGGAAGGCATCTATGATTAATCAGATGCTCTGCAGATGTGGGACTGATTCTATGCTTCGTTTATTTTGTGGTTTTCTTATTTGAGTATGCCTTATGAGGATGCCTTATGAGGAACGGCTAAGGGAGCTGGGCATGTTTAGCCTGGAGAAGAGGAGGTTACGGGGTGATATGATAGCCATGTACAAATATATAAAAGGATGTCACATAGAGGAGGGAGAAAGGCTGTTTTCTGCTGCTCCAGAGAAGCGGACACGGAGCAATGGATCCAAACTACAAGAAAGAAGATTCCACCTAAACATTAGGAAGAACTTCCTGACAGTAAGAGCTGTTCGACAGTGGAATTTGCTGCCAAGGAGTGTGGTGGAGTCTCCTTCTTTGGAGGTCTTTAAGCAGAGGCTTGACAACCATATGTCAGGAGTGCTCTGATGGTGTTTCCTGCTTGGCAGGGGGTTGGACTCGATGGCCCTTGTGGTCTCTTCCAACTCTATGATTCTATGATTCTATGATTCTATGAGTAAGCTGCTATGGCCAATGTTGTTCTGATTGCTTTGATATGACAACATTGTTTTAAGTAACAATTAGCATATGGTAGACCCAGATGATGTTCTGGAGGCAGAAGCCATTCTTCCAGTGAAACAAATAAATACAGCTGAGCCATAAACATCAATAAGAATGGCATGGGAGCCAAGAATACTTGGCCATGGTGACATTATTGGCTCTCTTTATTGACATTATTAGTTCTCTTTAGTACAAGTGTGGCTAGAGTCTTTTTGGGAGGGGAGCATATTGTCTTTGACCCAATGGGAATCCTGAATTATGCATTAGTAGAATCCTGAGTTAGAAGCAGAGTGACTACCCCAGGGATGAGGGCCATGAGCCCCTCCAGTGGCTGTTGGACTACAACATCCTTAACCACTGGCCACGTTGGCTCAAGCTGATGGGAGTCCATCACCACCTAGAAGACATTAGCTTCCCCAACCTCTGCTCTACACCAGCAATGAAGTTTACAGAAGGAAGCCTAAAGGCATTTCTAGCCAGTAGCTTTTCATGACAAGTGCATATTACACAACTGGTCCTCTTCTTGGGAGATTTGCCATACGTTGTCCACAGGCTGTCCAAAGGTAGCACTTTGTTCTTCAGCTCCTATTGTAACAAGGGCTATTTGTAAAAGGGAAACCTACATGTTCCAGCAACCAGAGCAAGCCAGGATGAACGGGGACAACAAATAAGAAGTGGCAGGCTTCATTTGAGAAGGACGACTCTGAAGTATCCCCATATTTTGAGAATGGACTACAGTAAGTGCAGCACTACAGTAAGGTGACAGCAGCCACGAAATTAAAAGACGCCTGCTCCTTGGGAGAAAGGCGATGGCAAACCTAGACAGTATCTTAAAAAGCAGAGACATCACCTTGCCAACAAAGGTCCGTATAGTTAAAGCCATGGTTTTCCCAGTAGTGATGTATGGAAGTGAGAGTTGGACCATAAAGAAGGCTGATCGCCGAATAATTGATGCTTTTGAATTATGGTGCTGGAGGAGACTCTTGAGAATCCCATGGACTTCAAGAAGATCAAACGTATCCATTCTTAAGGAAATCAGCCCTGAGTGCTCACTGGAAGGACAGATCATGAAGTTGAGGCTCCAATACTTTGGCCACCTCATGAGAAGAGAAGACTCCCTGGAAAAGACCCTGATGTTGGGAAAGATCAAGGAGAAGGGGACAACAGAGGACAAGATGGTTGGGCAGTGTTCTCGAAGCTACAAACATGAGCCTGACCAAACCACGGGAGGCGGTGGAAGATAGGAGTGCCTGGCGTGCTCTGGTCCATGGGGTCACGAAGAGTCGGACACGACTAAACAACTAAACAACAACAACAACAAGTGCAGCACAACACATCTTTCTTTTAATCTCCTCAGTTTCCCCTTCTACGTGCCTGTTTTCCTAAGTTTGTGGCTGTAGGATGGGCCACTACAGCATCATTTCAGTTTTCACAAGCAGGCATGCAAATGGAGAGTAGGTGGGAGTGAAAGTGGAAAGTGGTTTGAGGCCTAGGGTGCATGCTAACAGATCTTAAAATAGGTCCCGCTTCATTAGAAAGTCTAACACCATGAACTAGCTGTCTTCCTCCACTCAAGGAGATAATGCTACATACCCTTCCAGTGATCTCAACAGCGGGTCCACTTCAGCCTTGCTAAACCTGGTGTGTACTTGAAATGTGGACTGTGGCAAACCTTACTGGTAATCATGGGAAGAGATTCCCCAGGCAGCACCCTTGGGTGAAGATGTATACTCTACATGACAAGCTACTCTGGTTGTCTACACAAAGTATCAGCTGTATTGCTGCCTCAGAAATGCTAGTTTAACCATTCTGGAAGTCTTGGGGGGGGGGGGATGAACCACTGCTTCTCTACTCCTACTCCTTAGGGCTTGTTAAACTGGGTGTACTGTTCACTTACCAGTGTAAGTCATTAGAACAGAAGTCCTCCTTTTCTTCCACCCGATGTACAAAATAAGTAGAATGACTATTAAGACAGCTGCAACAGAAGCCAGAACTGCACCTTTTGTCTTACTTGGGCTGTTATCAACCGAGGGGCTATTTTCAGGACTGCTCGTGTCAACTAAATAGAAACAACGCCAAGGGGAGAAGAAGGAGAGGTTTTTTTAAAAGGCTCAAACAGAACAGGTCTGCAAACAACATAAACCGCACATCTAAACTGTTTTTATGCTTTACAACACATGCACAAAAACTGGATTTTACTAAAATACAATGAAACTTAAGAATCACCTTTTAGCAAAAGGAACTTTTATCCTAATAATTTGCACACTGCATGTAAAAGGATGGAAAACTTTGGTCATAACCCAGAGACTTTCCTTAAGCATATCTAAGTCATTGAGTTACATACACTCCCAGATGAGTTATAGCCTTTCATCCAGCTCCCACTTCCCTCAAGGTCAGCCAGATAACAGACTTCACAACTGCTGAGTTTTAAAAACGGGATTCCAGCGAGCAGAATTCAAACAAAAGTTGTTATGATTTAAGGTAGGTCTGTTTAATAGCAAAGATGAAGCAGGAGTAGGTGGGCCAAATGTCACCTTCTGATATGAGCTAACCTGCCAATAATTTGTTCGAAGGCTTTAAGTAGCCTGCCCTGGAACCTATATGATTTCTTATTGCATCTGAATTTAAATTTGAAGCTTTCCTCTCTATTTAAGAGGCCAAAGGCTTTTGTTCTAGCTGACAAATGATCAGAAAGTCAAGTTTTTTGGGGGTTCTGGACATGAATTACACTGTAGTTGTTGTTTTTTTAGCTTACTTGACAAATTTGTTCTTCGCTATAAATATTTCACCGTGCATGAAAAATATTTGAGAGGAGATAAAATGAAGAACATCAACTTACTGGTGGCAGTTAGATTTTGGTGCAGCTGCTCATTCTCAATTGTACACTCTAACTTGATAGCAGTAGCTGCTTTAACTGTTAATGTACTGAAAACAGTGATCGTCCCGTCAGGCGCTCTAGTATACTGTTGAGTTGAGTTCAAGAGGCTGATGTCAGTATGATTTACCCAATAAACTTTTGGTTGCGGGTACCCGTGGCTAGAAGTGCAATTAAATGTCGTTTCTTCTCCAGATGGAATGTGAGTTAGAACTGGCGCGCTGTAATTTGCTGGGGGGGAAAGTAAGGGCGACATATTTTAACACAGTCTGGAGCTGTTGTCAGTATAAAAGGTTGAGAGAAGGATTTTCACTAACACACGCAGTGGGAGTAGGGTCCTGTTTGCACACACAAGTAACTTGTACTGCCAGGTTGATGCCTTACTGTTGAACCAGAAATATTGGAAGTAGCGTTGTAGTATAGACTGTGACCTCATGGGCTGTTGGGGTGAATGAGGTTTCGGTCTACACACCTTCAGCTCTCCTCTGCGAAAAGCTCTCCATGAACAGGAGGGGTGTTGACACGGCAGTGCCAGGGGAAAGGCCCTTACTTCCATGGTAGAGCATCTGCTTTGCAGCATGCGGAAGGTCCTAGGCATCTCCAAGGTAGGGTTGTGAGAGATTCCTATTTGAAACCCTGGCAAGCTGCTGCCAGCCAGTGTAGGCAACACTGAGCTAGATGGACCAAGGCAGTTTCCTATGACCCTTGCTCAGAGAGCCATGCAGAGTGGGAGAAAAAGGACGTGGCAATGGACTGGATTGCCCCTGGTATGCCAAGTACATTTTCTTGTTTAAAACACCATTGCTCCTCTGTGCCCCGTGTTAACTCAGAAACACACTTGAACACGCCTTTCTTCTATGCCATTCTCTGACATACACAAAGTTTGGCAAAAAAACAGGAATTTATCACTGATGTTTTATAAATATTTGCTTTACCTGCCACTTTGAGGTTTGTTTTTACTTCTCTATGTACTTCAAATTTTCCTTCTTCATTCTTCTTCAGTACCACACAGGTATATGTGAACTCATCTTTAGGAGTGATCCTTAACAGTTGCAGAGTAAACTTGCCCTCCTTCAGTTCCTCCTTAAACCGAGTCCTGTCTCTGAAGTCTGCACACTGGTTTTTCTCACGGTATGAAGTCAGATCTTCATCAGAATCATAGGTTTCTACAAAGCACTTTATTTCCCCTTCTTTTCGCCATGTTACTCGAAAGTTATTTAAGATGAACGTGCCATTTAACTCATCGCATCTCAGTTCAACAGTACTTCCTATTATGCCAGTGACTGATATGTTAGCTATAAAGAAAAAATGGGAAATTAAACATATTCTTTTTACGAATGTCTCCATAAAATCCAGTTTTACTGGGGCCACATTTCTTTTCATTCCCACTGCAGAGAATAACTTAATTCACTAGTTTGAGTTCACTTGATGTTATACACTCTAATGGAAAGGTGACCTTGGCCTAATGGGGAAAGCCCTCATGGCAGCTACTCCTCTTTATTATTACTGATTTCTTGTTGATTACCTTCTACCTATGTCACAGCAACTGAGTCCAAGTGAAACTTAACTGAGTCTCTGGGTCTTCTCAGACTCTTCTCCAAGAGTCCATGGCCACATCTTCCATGCCACAAGGCACTGAACAGATACAGCTCTTCCTAACATGCAAATATGGCAATGCGTATGCTGATTATCTTCCAGCAGTGCACCTACTAAAGACACAGAACCTCTCTGAGGGGGAAACATTAACAGGAGATTCTAGCATGGCAGCTCTCCTGGGTAAGAGAAAGCATTATGGGAATTGTATTAAGAGTATGATTATTACCTGAAATGTTAATTTAGTTATCTGTATATTTTAAAGTGGCTTTGCATTTCTGCAGTCCACCCTGAACTTTAGGGAAAAGACAGGACTGATCATCCGCATTATCAGCATATTTAAAGGTTTGCTTTATATTTGAGCATAGCCATAGGCGCCGACTCCATGGGGCCTGAGGGGGCTCGAGCCCCCTCAAAAAATTTTTTGGGGGGGCTCAGCCCCCCCAATAATCTCGGGCGCCCTTCCAGCAGAGCGCCGCCGCCGTCCCCCGCCTCCTCCCCACCTGCTCCCTCGCCAGCCAGCCAGCCAGCCGCGCGCCCTAGTCGGAGAGCCCCGGCCGTCCCCCGCGAGATTAGGGAATCCCCGGGGGCAGGGGCTCCTGCCTCGCTGCTTCGCAGCACCACCGCCACTGCCAAGGCACTGCCGGGGGGAATCTCCTTCCTCCTGGCCCCCGCGAGAACAGGGGAATCCCGACTGGCCACACCTCCCAGCCAGCCGATTGGCTGGCTGGGGGGGCGTGGCTTGCCCTATTTAGGGCCGGAGCCACTTTATTTGCATATTCATGAGCTTATTTATTATTCATGAGCTTTCCCGGGCCCCCCCAATATTTTTTATAAGTCCGCGTCCCTGAGCATAGCAAACAATGCATTCATAACTTACCAGCTGTCTGAACCCAAAGGAACATCATAAATCCAAAGCTGAAACAAAATAAAAACAGATTACGAGGCATGAATTTTATAAACCACTAAATACATATTCAGAATTTGTAAAACACAACTAAACAACAAATATTGATAGAAAGACTGTATAATAGCAACTTTAGAATTTCTTTCTGCAGTCCTCACAGGTATTCCCATATTTCAGAATTTCTTCTTTTTGTACACAACAACCCAATAACTGTGATGGAAATTTGTTTTGTGTTGCACCAAAGGATAAGACCAGAACCAAAGGGTTCAAGTTACAAGAAAGGGAATGCTAACTGAACATCAACAAGGATTCCCTGTTGGTATGAGCTGTTGGGACAGTGGAACAGGCTGCTTAGATGGTGAAAGACTCCTTTGTAAGTTTTTTTTGTTTTTTGGGGGGTGGGGTGGGGTGGGGGCACATTTGCTGTATTGCCAGGGGTTGAACTAGACGGCATTTTGAGTTCCCTTCCAACCATATGATTCTAAGAAGGCAGGTCAATATTTTTATCTCTGTGCTGCTTATGGGAACGGCCTGAAGCCAGGAGATTGTGGCTCTCTTCAGTTCAGACTATGTTTTCACTTCAGTCCAGACTATGTTTTGAACCATTACACCAACTCTCATGTGTGTTTGTGCTTTTGTGACTGCATTTATATTTATTAATTTGCTGTCCTTGAAGCAGGGGCAGAGGAAGGGGGTGGTCCACCGGGGTGTAATTCTTGGGGGGTGTGTGACATTCGGCATGCCGCCCGCCTGCAACCCCCAGGCCTACCCCAAGCCGTCGGGGGAAGGGGCAGAGCTGCATCGCCTTGCTGACGGCCTTCCCCTTTGCCCCCTTTGTTTTTGACAGCTTGGGGGAGGCTTGGGAGTCATGGGAAGATGGTGCGCCTTGCCGCCCGCTCCAGGGCTGCTTCCTGGGGGGAGGGAAGCCTCCCCCAAGCTGTCAAAAGGAAGAGGGAAGGAAGGAAGGCTGCTGGCAAAGCGGTGCAGCTCCCCCCCCAGGAAGCAGCCCGCCATGGGCGGCTCGCCCCGTGGGATGCTCTCCGCGGCGCCTCCCTTGGACGCTTGCCCCGCCCTGGGTACACACCATGTGTGCCGCTCCAGGTGCTGGAGCAGCTAGCTCCGCCTCTGCCTTGAAGGTTCAGGGGGAAGAAACTAAGCCATTTTAGAACCAATGCTTTTTGTGTGATTTTACTCATTGGTATGGAGTAGCATCACCTCTATTCCTTGCTACCCATGGCACTTTTAATATATGAATGCTGGAACCTCGTTTTTTTACATGTGATACAGACCTATATACATAGCAGTATTAATAGATCTAGATACAGGTAGGTAACCGTGGTGGTCTGCTGTAGTTGAAACAAAATTAAGAAAAATCCTTCCAGTAGCACCTTAGAGACCAACTAAGTTTGTTATTGGTATGAGCTTTTGCGTGCAGGCACAGATTCTTCAGTATTAATAGATGTGACTGCTAAACTTCATTCAAAATAGCTCCATCTTTCTCATTACAAATGAGGAAATAGTCCTTATATCCCAGTATTGTGGAAGACTCTGCCAACAGAGATTCAGTAGTTGCCTTCTGTTTCAACTTTTAAATGCCTGATGGAAACTTTTCTATGCAGGCAATTAAGAATACACCTTTCCACAATGGTTAACTGATGTCTCATGTTCATCTTTCTTTTAAAAAATTACCACTTTGATATATTTTATGAAATAGTTGTACAGAAATATTTTCATAAATAAAATAACTAAATATCCAGGGTGCCTTTCCCTGGTGGTTACACACCTCAATCTCTGACAGACAATTAGTCATGTTGGGAGCTGCAGTCAACTAATTCACACCAACTCAAGTTAATCAGTCAATCAGTATCAGAAACATCCCTGCCATAGCTACAATGCAGTATAGATTATTGTTAGTGTGTGATCCTAAGCATTTGTTTCAGCATTTTGATGCTGGGACAATGCTGTTGCAAAATTAATGTGTCCAGAAGCATACGTTGTGCTGTTAAGCATATATAGCCAAGAAAGCACCACCCTAAGCACTTATTTTACCAAGATAATCAAGATTATTCAATTGTTTCTAACACGATTGCATTATATTTATTTGAAGCACTGGTTCTGAATCAGGAAGTATACCTGCTCTTTCACAAACAATGGTCAGGAACAGCTGGTTTCCAACCACTGAGAAATAAAGGCCATCAGAATTTGTTTCAAAGTGTTTGTTTACTCAATTCATGTTCTATTTATTCCTGTCTCATTCTCTTGGTATTCAGGTTTGCTTATGTTGTGGTTAGTTTCACTAACCACTTCCACAACACTGGGCTAACACCGCCAGAGTGTTTTGAGTCACAAATTCAATTGTGACGTTTCTATTTGTCACCTTTCAAAACTTACAAAGAAGAATCCCACAAGCTAACTGTAACTATATTACAAAAATGCCATAGTATCAATAAAGATGAGCCATTTGTGTTATGTCTTTCAGTTGTTTAGCTGAATTGAGCGGGACCCGTCTCACACAAAAAAAGCCTGGCTTACAAAGTAGTCAAAAATCAGGAGTTCTGTCTACTAGCAAATCAGCTTCATTTCCCTGTCCTGACTAGCAGCCATTCAATACATATCTCCAGAAAGCAATGTTAAAACGCCTTTACTTTTGGTTGCATTACTCTTGATGCGTTTGCTACCCTAGGCTCCTTCGAGACGAAAACAATTTAATCAATAAAGCCTGGATCACCCCAACTTGCACTAGGGTTATTTCCATTCAATTTAGCAATACTTAGTTTCAGGAAAGGTGCCTGATTGCTGTTAAAAGCATAGCAATGCAAACAAAATTTTAATAATAGCAGCAGCAATCCGCATACAGCATAGAGCAACATCCAAGTGTAGGAAATCGCCTCAGCGTTATCCTCTCTTTAAATATCGTATGCAAGCAAATTTATTCCACCTGGCCTGCAAGCAAACCAACAACTAGTTGAGAGAGAAGCTCCAGGAAGGAGCGTGCGAAGTGCGAGACTTTGCTTGGAGACTCCACTCACCTTTTCGGCACCATAGTGGCGGCGGCGGCCTCAGCTGCAAAGGGCGCGAGGGCAACTAAACCCGCCGGCGGGGCGCCCCTCGCGCCGCCATCTCCGGACCCCGAAATTCCCCCGCGGAGACACCTTGCAGCCGCAAATGGAGAGCCGGTGGTGGCGCGCTGCGGCTGGCCGCCTACGCCTCCCGAGGGGCGCGGCACGCTGCCTCTCCGGAGCAGCCGCTTCCTTGAGGAAACTCCCGGCCGCAAAGCTCGCGCCGCAGCTCGCCGAGGCTTCTCCCTCCCGCGGAGGGAAAGGAAGGGAAGAAAGCGGGGATTCCCGAGGCCTGGCGCCCAGGCGGAGGCGCCTCCGTCCCTCTCGCCCGCTTGAAATAGGCGCTCGGGCGGCGCGTGACGTGCCGTGACGCCGCGCCTTCCTATACTGTGGGCGCGCCATTGGCTCAGCCTCGAGGCCTCGGTGCGCTCGCTCCCATATGCATGATTGGAGTCAGTTCCGTATATTCAGTGGGACACCCAGACCATAGAATTGAAGAGTGGGAAGGAAGCACGAAGAATCTTCTTGCCCAACGTGGGGCTTCAACCCAGCCAAGCTGATAATAAAGAATCTCATTCTCTACAGACCCAGCTATCAGTAGACTTACCTTTTACTTTACATGCAGGGTTGCATTGTGAGGGATTTTTATCCAGCCTTTCAAATAAATGCGAATAATCAAATGCGTTCAAAAAAGAGAGAGTAGAAACATATTACTGTTGTATTTATTATGACATTTGTACCCCACGTTTCCTCCCAGGAGCTCAAGGTGGTGTACAGTGGAACCTTAGTTCTCGAACTTAATCCGTTCGACTCCTGAAACTGTTCAAAAACCAAAGCGTGGCTTCCGATTGGCTGCAGGAGCTTCCAAAAACGTTCCAAAAACAGAACACTTCCAGGTTTTCGGTGTTTGGGAACCAATTTGTTCGTCAACTAAGCTGTTCGAGAACCAAGGTTTCACTGTATATGACCCTTTCCCCATCATCACAACAATACCAGACCCTCTAATTGTCCCTATTTTCCAGGGACAGTCCCAGATTTATAGAAGCTGCCCTGGTTTCAGATTTGATCCTGGAATGTCCTGCTTTTCCTTAGGACGTCCCTATTTTCATTGGAGAAATGTTGAAGGGTATGCAATGCTGTGAGGTAAAGATTGAGACTAGCAGGCAGTGGCTGGTGCTCTCTCCTACAGTATGCTGAGAATTCACCTAAGAGCCTATTTAAGCCTATTCTTGTTCGAGATAGGAGTATCGCATCGTCAGCGTACAAAAGCACTGATATTGCTTTGTCAGCCAGTTTGGGGGCGTGGAAGTCCGGAGATGACAAACAGTTAACCATATCATTGATGTAGATGTTGAATAAAACTGGGGCCAGGATGCAACCTTGCTTGACCCCCTTACTGACAGGAACTGGTCCTATAAGATGGCCATTTAACGAAGTTCTTACATGCAGCACCGTGTCTTTGTATAAACAGCTGATCAGAAATAATAGTCTTTTGTCTATGCTTGAGGTGCTCAATTTATCCCAGAGTCTTACACGTGGAATTGAATCGAAAGCAGCCTTTAGATCGATAAAGGCTGCATATAACACCCCACGGGATTTTTTGGCATATTTGTCAATTAAATAGGCTAGGGTGAAGCAATGGTCTATGGTGGATCTGCCTTGCCTGAAACCCGCTTGCTCTTCCGCTAGAATAGCTTCAGTTTCCAGCCAGCTAGTTAGCTTGGTATAAAGATGTTTGGCATATAGTTTGCTGGGTATAGGCAGAAGGCTGATTGGTCTATAACTCGCCGGATCTGTCATGGGTCCTTTTTTATAGATTGGGATAATTATTGCCTCAGTCCAACCATCTGGGAGTAAACCCGTTGAGTCGATCCAAGAAAATAAAGACGCCAGCAGGGGGGCCCACCAGCCAATGTTGGACTTCAGAAGTTCGGCAGGGATGTAGTCATTCCCTGGGGCCTTGTTGTTCTTTAATTGTGCGATTAAATTCTCAACTTCCTTCGCAGTTACTGCTGGCCAATGAGGTAGGTCCTCCAGTTGAATGCATAGTTTGTAATGTTGGGCTTCCTGGTCATAGAACAAAGATTGAAAATGGCGCAACCACTCCATTGGTTCCACTGTACAGATGGAATTAGTACGCTCCTGGTCCAGTAGACCAGATATGGTTCGCCAAAAGCAAGTAGTATCTTTCTCGTGCGATGCCTTAACCAACCTGTGCCATGCGGCTCTTTCAGCTTCCAGTTTCTTTCTCCTTAATAATTGTTTGTACGACCGTCTCAGATAAATATAAGCATTAAGTAGGAGGGCAGTCCCTGATTTCCTGTATCTCCGGTAGGCTGTTCTCATTTGTCTCCTTGTTTGCCTGCACTCCAGGTCAAACCAGCTAGCTCCGTCCTTTGCCCTCTTTGTAGCGGAGCTATGTATCACTGTTGTTAAATGGGGTTTCAATCTTTCCAAGAGTAATTTAAAGCGTTCCATAATCGCAGCTACTGAATTTCCTGATACAATAGCGGAGCGAATAAGCTTTAACTCCACTGACTGAAGAAGGAGGGTTAGGTTTTCATTCAATATTGGGGACCATTTGAGTCTTTTGGGGGCAGGTATATCCAAATTTACAGAAGGTATATATTGTGGCTCGGCAATAGAATAGTCAAAAGGCCGACCTGCAAGCTCTAAAATTAGAGGTAGGTGATCACTCAGAGTATTATGGCCCACTTGGAACTTCCTTATAAAGCTGTGAGCAAATCTTGAGATTAAGATATAATCTATAACACTTCCCCCAGCCTTGGAGAAATGGGTATATTCCCCGGTGCTGTGGAGATTTGAACCCTGACCTCTCAGGACATAGTGCAACACTCAACACCATGCTGAGTACACATCATAGATATATTGAAAAACTAGCAAAAATGCCTTCAGTGGGGAAGATGGTGGTTGCCAAAGATACTGATTCTAATTTTCATTCTCTGGCCTTCCCCCAACTCTCGGCCACCTTTGCCCACTGAGCAGGGAGTTGCTGATGTTGGCATTCCATCCAACTGAAAGACTACAACTCAGCCACTGGGTGCAGTTAAACCTCTACTGAACCTTCCCTTGCAGCAGGTTCATATAGAGCATGTGTACACAACACCCTTATGAATTCCCATTGGTTAACACTGGCCACAACAATGCCTTTTTAATCAAAACTGCAAACATTTTTCACAAGCACACACCAGACATTTCCCTCGATCTATGTCAACAACCAGTTTCCCAAAAGAAACGGTACAATCAGATAAATCTTTGCAGAAAAATCATCCAGACATGGTCTATGAAAGAAAAATAGATACTACCTGTCACTCGCAGAATGTTTTATTCATATAAGTTATTTTTTATTTTTTTCTGCCCCAAATTCAGCATAGGCCATCTACAAATGTGCCCCTTCTACACTGTCAAGTTTCAAATCAGTCCAGTAAATCATTTTTAAACTATAAGCCATAGAACGTAGTGACCCCTGGATTTCTCATTGTAATGATTCAGTCAACTCACCCCTAACATATAAACAAATACAGAAAACTTTATTGGTCCTTTTGGGAGTGTGTCTCTGGGTGTGTACATGATCATTTTGTACAAAGAAAGCTCATAATAAAGTAAGCCTCGCCAACATTTCACTGAGGACTGTTGTTGAAGCCTGTTTCAATCCCTACTGAAGTTTAGGCCAGTTTTTGCTGTCCTGCTGGTCCTGGAATCTTCCTCTGGCTTTCCTGCCTAGCATTCGAAACTGCTTCCCACTCCTTCTCTGGGCTCTCTTAAGCCTGAGCCAAGTAATTTGGCAACCCCAGAAAGTCTTTGGTCCGCAAGCCACTCTGCCTTCCTCTCAGATCTCCTTCCTCCTTCTTTGAACCTTTTCCCACTGTCCACCATGAAAACAAAGCACCAACCAGCACAGATTCTCTCCAACCAACCGTTACTGTCTCACAACAGACTACCCATACACTGTATATTCACTTCTTCAGGCCTCTCTAGCCCAGACTCAGCTATTTCATCAACTTAGGAATTCTACACCTGCAACCACCAGCTAGACTTTCTTTTGTAAACTGAGAGTTCTGTCTCCTACCGCTTCTCAGCCGTCAGCTAAGATTCCCCTGTTACAGTTAAGCAAAGTTTCACCTGACAAGACAGAAGACTTCCCCTATCAAACTGACAGTATACATTCACAGTACTCATTAAAATACAGTTCAAATAAGCAGGATTTCTCCGCAAAAGGCTATCAGAGAATTTAGGTTCTAGAAGATATGATTGCACCAACAACCCACACCATTAGACATGTCGCTTGTACTATGTATATTTTATATAATTGTATATTTTTAATGTCATTATTACAATATACAGGGTACTTCCCGAAAGCAACTTCTTCAAACTTCAGTCATAGCACAAACACAGGAAACTGGAAAGGAAGTGTCTGTGTTTGGTACCCTTAATATCACAGCTGTGCTGTGTTTGCTAAATCTCCAAACCTCCATTCTAAAACACTCTGAGCATAATATATAGAATACACATAAGTAAAAGTCCTTATTCTTCTTTCTGTTGCCCTTGCTAAAACAGAAACATAGCTATGGAATTCAGAGGATGTGTGTGGCCCAGCATATGACAAAATAGGTTTAGGCATTCTGTTGTCGAAGGGACCCTGAGGATCATCTAGTCCAACTTGAATATGCAGCTGTCCCGTACAGGGATCAAACCTGCAACCTTGGCATTATCAGCACCACAGTCTAACAAACTGAGCCATCCTTAAGAAAACTAGTATAAGAAATGCAGATTCCTACTTTAGTGTTCTCAGCTTTCACCAGTTATTTAAATTTCACATTTTAACTGATAAACAGGCCCAGCAACAAAAACAACCCCTGCCAGGCTTTTTGGCATGTTCACAGATTATGCAGCTGCTGCTTAGATTTGATTTCCCCCCAAAATTAACCCCTAAAGACATCAAATGGGGACTTTCCTAATAAACAAGTGGCTAGCCTTGAGGGAAAACAAATTAAATCTTAAGTAAAGAAGTCCTGAATTTTAAATGCATTAGAACCATTAACATTGGAGTGAGAAGGCCTGCTAAAAATATATAAGGAACCTTAGATCCCTTAAAATAAACAAAAAAAGTTTCATCATATTCAGTTGTTTTAAGAAGTAACCCAATACTGCAGATAAGAAGGTACTCAAAACAAGCCAGTTTATTTAATGGTTTTTGCTACATATGGTCAAAATTATTATTATTATTATTATTATTATTATTATTATTATTATTATTATGCTTACATACAAGAGAAACACAATTCATTTTAATCATACCACAACAAACTATCCCCAGATTGGAGAACTTGAAAAAAACAATACCTCTGTCTTATCAGGATTCAGCTTCAATTTATTGATTGAAGCTGAATCTGTGTTAGTTATACAAGGGTTAAGAACGACGTTTGAGAAAGGACACTGTTTTATCTCTCTCTGTTTTTGCTTTTATTTAGATTAGTTTCTTTTATCTTATTGTATTATGAAAAAGCTTTAATAGCATCTTATATAAAAAAAGGATTCAGCTTCAATTTATTGACCCATAAAGTTAAAGGGTAAAGGGACCCCTGACCATTAGGTCCAGTTGTGGCCGACTCTGGGGTTGCGGCACTCATCTCGCTGTATTGGCCGACGGAGCCGGCGTACAGCTTCCGGGTCATGTGGCCAGCATAACTAAGCCTCCTCTGGCGAACCAGAGCAGCGCACGGAAACGCCGTTTACCTTCCCGCCGGAGCGGTACCTATTTATCTACTTCCACTTTGACGTGCTTTCGAACTGCATATCCATCACTAAACACAGATACAGAGTTAACAAATTACCTAGCTCTTGTAAGTTGTTCCCACATTGGCAGAAGTAGAGAGAGTGCTTGTGTCAATGTTTATTTGTTCCCAACAGGCCATTTCAGGGTGAAGAATGTTATTTTAGTTTTTAGACATTTTCTTATGATAGCAAATGGGGCTCAGTTCTGATCTCACCACAACTATATTTATGGTGGAACAGCAACAAAAAGAGTAATATAATAGTTATTGTGGAGACTCTTCCCCCTTACTGCTTCCATAGCTGTGCTCTTGTTCTGGTATTTAAAGCTGGATAATTGTACAAAAGGATGGGAGGGGTATCACTGAGGCAGGGGGAAAACAAGATTCCATAATTGTCTTCATTCCAGTTGCATTCCCTAATTCTATACATATCAATATGAATGACTAAATGATAACATGAAGAGATTTTTGGCATTTGGATTTGAGCGGGATGATGTCTCTTGAGTTCCTTTTAACTTGACTAAGGTATCTGTGAATGAGTTTTTGAACAGTGTAGGTCTCCTGAGACATACCTGGTCAGAGTCCAGAGTCTTGTTAATATCTCAGTTTCCTGGTAAAGTTGCCCTAGGCCTTTCCTTTGTCTGGGATAGCATTCAATAAAATACTTAAAAACCGGTGAAAATGACTCACCAACCCTGAAACCTTTGCTCAGAGCCCTGGAATGTACAGAATAGATTTATAATCTAGAATCTAGGCAGATTTCAGTAGAATTGAGTTTAATTTTATCCCACAAAGGAAATTTCACAATTAAAAAACCCCAACAACCTGCATGAGTGCATGTGTATCCACCCTTTTACATATTAAAGAGTTTAAATAATTTTTAGAAAAGTTTTGAAATTGTTCCAAACATAGACAGACAGTGCTGGTCAGATTTCTGCCCCCTGCCCCACCCCATGCTACAAAAATCTGCACAGTGTCTCACTGTGGTGGCACATTAAAACCCTGAACACATTCTTCTGGTATGAAGATACTGCATCAATAGGAGTATAGCATCTAGATCAAGGGAAGTAATAGTGCCACTGTATTCTGCTCTGGTCAGACCTCACCTGGAGTACTGTGTCCAGTTCTGGGCACCACAGTTCAAGAAGGACACTGACAAACTGGAACGTGTCCAGAGGAGGGCAACCAAAATGGTCAAAGGCCTGGAAACGATGCCTTATGAGGAACGGCTAAGGGAGCTGGGCATGTTTAGCCTGGAGAAGAGGAGGTTAAGGGGTGATATGATAGCCATGTTCAAATATATAAAAGGAGGGAGAAAGGTTGTTTTCTGCTGCTCCAGAGAAGCGGACACGGAGCAATGGATCCAAACTACAAGAAAGAAGATTCCACCTAAACATTAGGAAGAACTTCCTGACAGTAAGAGCTGTTCAACAGTGGAATTTGCTGCCAAGGAGTGTGGTGGAGTCTCCTTCTTTGGAGGTCTTTAAGCAGAGGCTTGACAACCATATGTCAGGAGTGCTCTGATGGTGTTTCCTGCTTGGCAGGGGGTTGGACTCGATGGCCCCTGTGGTCTACTCCAATTCTATGATTCTATGAAGATGTTGATCAGCTTGGTCATTCAGGAAATTAAAATTCTGGTAAACAGAAACCCTTATAGAAACATACATTTTTGAATTACCTCTCTGTTTTGATATACACATTTTCAACCCAGCATTGTGCTTTGGAATATAATTATTAATTCAAATAATTGACACTACAGCTGTAGTATACATTAACATTTACGCTGGCTCCAGTGTGCTCCTAGCACAGGTGTTTGAGCTGAATACACACTACATTAACCACAATCCATAGGTCTCTTGTAGCTCCTTGAGAAATTTCCCCATTTCCAGTGTTTCTCCTCAAATCAGCTTCCATCTGATTTGGAAAGGTAAGCTGTGGTTACTGGTAAGTTGAGGTGTGTACATTTGGGACAGCTGTTGCACATGTGCAGATGACAGCTGCATTGAATAGGAGTGCAAGGGGGGAGCTGAATGCGCAGGGAAACAAATCAGGCAATACACATTGGGTGAAGACATCCCTGCCTTCTCTCTGCTGTGTACAGAAACATAAAAATGCAACATAAAACTCAGCGGACAGAAATGTTGGGTATAAACAACTTTGCAGGACTCCAGTCAGTAGAGGGCAGGTTTGAGATGAGCAGATCATCAGGGAAAATACACTGTTGTGGTTTTCCACTTAACACCTAACCTCCATCCCTTCCTCCATCATCCTCCCTTTCTCCTCCTCCTGAATGAGACAGCCATGAAACTTCCTCTCTCCTTGCGAATATGAAGTAACGCTTTTTTTCAGTACCAATGAGATTCCTGTGTAATTTATTTTACTCTTTTAAGCAATGCTAGTGATGTGTGAACAAGACTGACAATGGGTGGTGGGTTAGCTCCAGCTTCCAAGCTATTTTTACTTTGTAAGCCGACCAATTTTATTTTTAAAACCTATTAGCCTTGCTGCATTTTAAGCCACTAGGGGTTCATTGGGGTGCAGACATAAAAAAGATCAAGACTGTCATGTGATATGAATTTCAGATAAAGAACTTTATAAATTGTTTCCTTAAATGGGGACGAACAAATCAAGTTTAACATTGCATTTCTCCTATGACAAAATAACATTTATTTGTTTTAAAAGTACCCTTCGGAAAGCATAAGCAAGTACAATATACTCAAAAGCAAGTAATTTTTAAGATTCTCTTAACACTGCAAATTTTAGTTTTTCATTCTCCTGGTGGAACATTTTGCAGCCATTAACTGTGATAATTCCTCACCATTAATGAATTTCTAGCATTTAAATATTTTAAAAATATGTACAGCATAAATATGTACACTATATTATTGTATTACATTTTGTTTTTGTTTTGGGTTTGTATCCTGCCTTGTGAGCCCTTGTTAGGGCAGAAAGGCAGTTTATAAAGTTTTTAAATTATGAAAAATATCATAACAATTAGAGCTTGTGTACATGTATGATGCAAACCCAGGTAAAATAAAATAAAGAATCAGGCAGAAGGCAGTTGGAATAGGAATTGTATCAACAATCCAAAAATATTTTTTCAGGATGATGGCCAACTGATTAGAAGAAAAACAGCTTGGCTGGCTCCTATGCATCGAAAACAGCTTGGTATGAATAAATCAGTAGATGAAATTTCTCTGCATCGAGATAACAATCTTTCTTATTAATATCAAAGCAGTATTAAAGGGACAGCTGATTATGGCAATCCTGCTCATAGGCTGACCTACAATACAAAGAATGTCTTATGGAAATGTCCTAAAATATTCCTTCAAGGGCACAAAAAAGTCCTTAATCAGAGTGGCTGGACGCTGAGAGAAGATTCTGGTTTCAAGGATGTTCTTTGCCAAAAGAGACAAATCCACGTACAAGGCAGATGCAGAATATTTGCTGGAGAATAAAAAACAACATCCCCACAATATTCATGTAAAAATGTTAAAAGACGTGACTTCTTTCTTTCCCTTAACAGGAAATAAACAACTTGTCATTATATTTACATTTCAGGCCATACAGGAAATTATGCTGCTTCCACACCCTGATCCCTTTCCCTTTCCCCATATAAAAGGGTCTAACATCTCATTGTGCCCTTATTAGCTGTGCACTGATTAGGGTTGCCACATTGTTTCCTGACAATCCTCCATCTAATTTTAGGTGACTTCTCAAATACAGCCGCAGCTGCACCAGAGCCTCTGCTGTTGAGGAGAAACTTTGAGAGGAGTTTAGGGGGAAGGGAGGGACACGAAAGTTCAATTGCATGAGCTGCTTTCCTCTTGCACAACTTTGGTTTTCAAAGTTATGGGAAACGTTCTCACAGATTAAAGTCTGATTTGTGAGTTAGAGACTAATCTGTGAAAGTGTCTGCTTTTATTTGGGGACCGCCATGCATTCAGAGACAATACAATAGCAACAACAGGACTATTGCTCTCTGGGATGTGGACATCAACTTTAGCCTCCTTGGCTCTTTTCCGCTGCACTTGGAGAACGTCAGCAATGTCTAGCCAACATGATGACCATGTACATACGCAATAGACAATCTTTATAGAATTCCTTCAAACCATAACAAGTACAAAATGAAATCTTTAGTCTCAAAGTCTCTGAAAATCTTTAAATGAAGCGAGGTAACAGACTTTGTACGATGAAAGACAAGCTGTAAAGCTTTGTATATTCAGCAAATATGGTGTCCAACACTGAACAGTGATTCCGGATATTGACTACTGTTTCGTAGAATTCTTTGTCAGCGTGGTAGGAGGATATAGAATTGCTTCATAAACCCATCTTATATCGAATGAATGTATGTAAATGAAAATATCAAATGCTGTGGAACAGTGCTCATTTAATAATGTAATAAAGTAGAAGCAATTCTAAATCCTTCCACCACACTGACAAAGAATTCTACGAAACAGTAGCCAATATCCAGAAGAATTCATTTTGTACTTGTTATGGTTTGAAGGAATTCTATAAAGATTGTCTATTGAGTATGTACATAGTCATTGTGTTGCCTAGACATTGCTGATGTTCTCTTTGCAACACAGGGGTTTGTTTGGTTACTTATTGCTGCACTTGGAGTACAGCAATCTATTGAGGAGCCAGATGGTTGTTGGTTTTTTGCCAGCTACTCCACCCTTGAAGCACAAGAGTCAGAGCTGTAGCTGTTTCCAGGGAGAACCATATTTATTTGGGGGCTGTTAGGGGCAGTGGGTCACTCAATGGGGTGGCTCCTAAAGGCAGGAGACCAAAAGGGAAAGTTCTCATTTGGTTTTCTCCTATGGGTTGTGATGAGGGCAAGGCCACTTCCATCAGGCAGTTGTTTGTGGGTGGGCTTGTTCCTACGTGAGAGACTGGAGTGGGTAGGGTATGTTGAGTGTGAGTTTACCCAGCTTTTACATGAAAGGTGGCATGGTAGGTAGCTCCATCTGTGGTAAGAACAGGAATGCAGCTCATGAATGTAGATTTTGTTATTGTTTTGATTTATTTAATGTTGCATTTTTCTTTTGCCGTGATGGTCTGCTCACCACTTTGGGCTCCAAAGCAGTACATAAATAACACAGAATGTAACATAACAAAATGTGTTTCTTTGCTTTTAACGTGTCCTACGACTCTGTTATTTTTGCTGCAGCAGACCAGGGATCATACTTCTGGGATTAAATTAGAAAAAACCCATCCCCATTTGGGGATCCCTTCAGCTGCATCAGATAATATCTTCAGGTCTCACTGAAGTTAATCTACAGGATTGTATTAATTCTTCTCTCATATAATATAATGTTCACCAGAATAGAATAGTTGTAAAGGTAAAGGGACCCCTGACCGTTAGGTCCAGTCATGACCGACTGGGGTTGTGGCACTCATTTCGCTTTCTTGGCCGAGGGAGCCGGCGTACAGCTTCCGGGTCATGTGGCCAGCATGACTAAGCCACTTCTGGCAAAGCCAGAGCAGCGCACGGAAACACCATTTAGCTTCCCGCCGGAGAGGTACCTATTTATCTACTTGCACTTTGACATGCTTTCAAACTGCTAGGTTGGCAGGAGCAGGGACCGAGCAATGAGAGCTCACCCTGTCACTGGGATTCAAACCGCCAACCTTCTGATCGGCAAGCCCTAGACTCAGTGGTTTAGACCACAGCGCCACCTGCGTCCCCAGAATAGTTGTATGAGTAGCTAATTAAACCCACATGCCAGAAGCCAAAGCTAATACATGATTCTTCAGTTTCAAATTAGGGATGGGGGAAGAATTTGATTTAGTTCACATTTAAAGGTGAAGCTAACAAATGTTTAACTTTCTGAAACAATGTTGAGAACCAAAAAAGAGTCATCCTTTGTCATTTGCACATATTCAGATTTTGTGATGCAGTTCTCTAACCAATGGTTACAAAAATGCATTGGTAAAAGTGTGTATAAAAATGATTATATTAGTGAAAATAACATGTAAAATGCACTATATTAGAAGAAACTGCTTGCAAAAATACGTATATGAGCCAAAACTGCACTACAAACGTGCTTATTTGGAGAAATTCACACTAAAATGTGGAATAATTTTCATGAGGATTTTAGAAATGAGTAAACTTCATGTTGCTGCAGAAAAGTAGAGAACTGAATTTAAGGTGGGGGGGGGGGACATGGAGATTGTGAGAACCGAAACTGGTACAACTTTCCATCCCTAGATACCTAGATAAAAGAGTATGCAGTTCATTTGATTTGGCATGATTTAGTTTAGGTCTAGTTCATGCATGAATAACACACCACTTGACAGCTGCATGTATAAACAAGTTAGCTGTGAAATGGCATATTTCACACTATCTAAAAACACAACTTTTCAATGGAATCAGTTCATCAAGAGTATTCAGATATCAAGTGATGTACATGCATGTATGAACCATGGACTTGTTGAACTAGCCATGGGGGAGAATATTGCAGAGATAAGTGAAATGAGGAACAGTGAATGATTCCTTTCACAAGAGCCTGTTCTCAGATGCCAGCATTGACCACAGTCTGCAAACAGCTTAATAATCTTATTCATGCTTTGTTAGCATTTTTGTAGCTCAAATGTTCTAGAAGTGTCATTGACACAAACTGATTCATCTCTGCAATACCCCTGAAATATATGTCACTATGTGGTTCCTTCAAAAGAGAGCTGTGCACTTCAAATTGACGAGCTCTCTGGACCAAATGCTACTGTCACTGTGATGCCTTTAATAGTAGCCCAGCATAGAGAAATTTAGCAGCCAAATCTTTACCTGGCATAAATAGTAACCTGGCCAATATTCTGAGGGCCAAACAGGTAGGGCCAGAGGCAAAGGAGAAAGTGCCAAAGGGGAAGGCAAAAACAAAAAAAACCTATTTTATTAATTTGTACCCCTTTATTCAATAATACTTTACTCAACCTGTGCCATTATTACTTCCCACCCTTTCCCCCATTCCAGTATTCTCCCTTTTCTCCATTGCATTTTATTCAATTCATCCCACTGTTCAATTTGGGTCTCTTTCTGGCCTGTAAGGAATAAAAATGTCACTTTTTTAAATAACACATGGCCCAAGCTACGCAATATGATAATATTGGTGGTGGTGGTTGTTGTTGTTGTTGTTTTTAAAAAAGCTTCCTTAAACTAGCACCTTTTATTGTTGAAGTAAAGGTAGCTCTGGGGCCTAGATCCAAAGTAGAGAGCAGCCCTGCACCAATTTCTTGCAAATAATAATGCCCCACCAGTCCTTTGCCACTGAAGGTGTTATTTAATGCACACAGTCCCTTTGGGAGAAAATAGCAGCGGAGGGAGGGAGGCATTTTTGGCAGGAAACCAGCATGAGGCCCCAGTTGGGTTTGGGAGCACATTCCCAATCTGATACGGGGTATCTGATCTGCTGCTATGTTGTCAGAGTGCATGTTTGCCACCGTTTGTGTTCTGTTGTACATCTGTCTGTGAAGTCTCCAAAAGAAAGAGAGCGTTAAAAGAAAAGTCTCCAAAAGAGAGACAACTCCTCTTAGCTTGGGAGTGTGTAACTATATTAAACTGAGAGAAGTGAAGAAATAGCACCAAGCAGATGAACACTTCTGTGTCATCCTAAGCCATTCTACCAGTACAGATTTGGGGTAAAAATGAGATAACCTCTTAAGTATGGAGAACAATTAGAGAACCAATACTGTAATGCGGAAGATGTAAGACTTGCCTTGTTTTTAGGTGTTCTATTTTTATTTGGCTTTACTAGATAAATGCTTGTATTATTTATATATTTATAGTGACGCAAAGGAAGTATTGTTCCAAAACACGTCAGGCCTCAAATGTATTTTCCTTCAAGCAACTTGAGTTTCTTCCTCTTTTTTCGCTGCCTTCTAGTTTCAACAGGCCTTGAGGCCCACACAAACTGAGACAGGACGGTGAACAAGTTACAACGATATCCAGAGGAGCAGCATTAGTCTTTTGAGTCTTGTGGCATCTTAAAAGGCTAGCAACTTTATAATGCCATAACTTTTTGTGAACTACAGTCTACTGGTTCATCAGATGCATGAAGTGTTATCCTGAGTATCACATGGGGTTGTTGTCGTTTTTTGGTTGGTGTGAGGGAAGAAGCTGTAAAATTTGAGGTCAGAGGGAAATGCAGAAAAGTGGCAAATGTAATTATGTAAGCCAATTAACACATATAATGTGCTAAAAATTGTCTTCATTTGGGTTTGGGTTCAATCCACAAGTGAAATGCTGATGTATTTTAATTCAGTGGTTTCACATTGGAGTCTCCTTTCATCCAAGCTTGTTTACAGCTTTTGAATATTGCGTTTCTGATTACTATATCAACAATAACAACTTGATGATATTAACAAGTTATCTAAATAGCTGTCACATGGGAGATGGATCAAAGTTGATTTCTGCTGCTCCAGTGGGTAGGACCCATACCAATGGATTCAAGTTTCAGAAAAGGAGATTTAAATTAAACATTAGGAATAACTCTCTTGATGGTTAGAGTTTTTGACAGTGGAATGGACTCGCTCAAAAGGTGGTAGAATGTCCTTCATTGGAGGTTTTCAAGCAGAATTTGGATGGCCATCTGTCAAAGATGCTTTAGTTGTGATTCCTGTACTTCAAGGTTTGGACTAGATAACCCTCAGGGCCCCTTCCAATTTTGCAGTCCTATGCTTCTATTGTAAAAGTGAGTTGGAAGGCATAAGGTAAAGGTAAAGGGACCCCTGACCATTAGGTCCAGTTGTGGCCAACTCTGGGGTTGCGGTGCTCATCTCGCTTTATTGGCCGAGGGAGCCGGCGTACAGCTTCCGGGTCATGTGGCCAGCATGACTAAGCTGCTTCTGGAGAACCAGAGCAGCGCACGGAAACGCCGTTTACCTTCCCGCCAGATGTAGAAAACAAAATCTTAAATGCTCTGCAGCTGGTTTGGCTTTAACACAAGCACACACACAGAAACTTCTGTGATATCTGAGAAAGCAGTTACCTGTTAACAGATGGGATATTACTCCATATGTGTACTGCATTCTGGATGGTGTCATCATGCTGCTTATATCTGATCACAGCTTCCATCTTTAAAAGGACCAAAACCATACACACGTCTCAAGAGCTAGAACTTAATCTCGCATTTGATGCCAATAGAATATAATACAGAATTCAAAATCTGGGAGCCAATACAGATTGAACAATACTGAAGTAAGATGCTCCAAGAGATATAGAAATGCAGCAAATAATTACATAAATAAAATAAAACTGTTGTTTCAAACTGCGAATTGAGCAAATGAAAATCTGTATTAAATTAATGTCTGCAAGTGAGTGGTGAAGAGAGTGGTGATCTCTTCATTCACCTCTTGAAGCCATTTTGTTTTGCTACTCACCTGAAAGAATCGAGAAGCTGTATCTCGGTCTTCTTCCTCCAGCACAAGGTTATCCACAAACATCCAGAAAAACATCATTTCTGGGGGTGTCACGTACTGAAGAATACGAAAATATTGGTAAAAATACCAGGCTTTAAAGGGAAGGGAGAAGAGAAAACAGGCTATAAAAAGATGGTCTCTGAAAACGCCTTTCTAAGGTGCTCCAGCCCACCCGCTTCCTTTTTAAAGAAAAGAATGACTGAAAGGGGGAAGAGAGCCACCTCTGGGCACCAGGGAATGCCTCTGGAGGCAAATGGGTGCTTATGGGTGCCAAACTGGCTGCTCCTGAAGAGATTAGATGTTATAAAGACATGCAAATATAACAGCAGGAGTCTGAGGCTGCACAGGTCTCATGTTTAGAGATAGATTGCAAGGTGGGGTAGGTAGCAAGATATAAAAGCCTGAGGGGTGTGCTTTCCTTTCTCTTAGGCATCCACCCTCCATCCATCCGCTGACAGGGACTGGACACTTTAGTTATACACTTTAGGTATAAAGAAGGTCTCCAGCCAGGGGCGTATCTAGGTAATATGGTACCAGACCAACATTTGACACCCTCCGTCTAGTTTTCACAAGACCAGCTTAAGCCAGCTTTCGAAAGGAAGCAAGAGGCCCTAAAGCCCTCCTATCTCCTTCCCAAAGCTTGGCGAGTGCTTGCCCAGCTTTGGGAAGCAGACAGGAAGACTCTAGGACCCTGTCTGAGCCCTCACACCTGCTTTTTTATATTCCAGTATAGCATTGCCATTAGGGCAGAGGTAACTGGGAAACTTATGCTCACTGCAGGTCAGTACAGACTTCCTCTGAACCACTGGCTTGAGGAAACTCCAGCGAAATAGTTTTGTTGTATAACCTGTGCCTGTCTGTATTTGGGCTGCTAGGGAATCTGAATATCTGTCTATAGGAAGTTCTGCCGTTAGTGGCTATATAGCCTCTAGCTGTGGAACAACACTGTCACAGCATGCTCTAGCCATGGCTCTTGGTGTCTCCCGTTTCCTGTATCAGTGCTCCTACTATATTGCATCATTTTGTTTTCTACGAGTTACTGGAAGCTCATTGGGATGTTGTTAGCTGACACTGCAGAACCCTAGGCTCATGCTGCCCAACCACTATCCTGTGCACAATCACCAGGGTCTGAGTCCCATTATCACAGTGTGGCCTACTTTGGAGTAATCATGCTTAAGATTGTGCAGCTTAGCTACAAATATTTATAAGGAAGCAAGATCAGTGAAACTTATTCCCAAGTAAATACTGTATGTTGGAGCTGCAGTATTTAACCTGTTTTGGAGAAGAGTGGAGAGAGAAATGGTCCGTCTCTTGGAACTGACCAGAATCAGAGAGACACAATAAGAGCTACAGTTTCATGCATGTTTGCTTTTCTTACCAGAGGGATGTTGATAAGAGTTTCCAATGGGTGGCGTAGACCCAAATATAAAATCAAATGGACCCCATTCTTCTATCTAATAAACAAAACAAAACCATCACAGTAGTTTGGATGCAGGATCCCATCTTTCATCTTTTCATTTCACATGGGTTCTCGTTCTCCTCCTCCTCCTCCTCCTCCTCCTCCTCCTCCTTTCAGAAATGCACCAGTTTGCTTTATAGACATTCTGATGGGCATGTTTTGGATCAGGATTACTACCACTTCCTAGCCACAGAACCAACCTGACCTTACCAACTAGTTTACCTTTAACCACATTGCTACTAACTATTCTGATTAGTCCAAATTATGACAAATGACAAAACTATTAAATCGACAGTGGTGTTATGCAGGTTGACTATGACGTGCTCCACTAAGTATTAGAAATACTAAATTTAATTTCTGAACCTATTATTTTTATATATTGCCCTTCATCAAAAGCTCTCGGGGCAGTTCACAAGATAAATGACCCTATTGTGCAGAATACTCACAGAATGTTAAGTAGACGAATAAATAAATAAATAAATAATAGACAGTTTTCCCTCCATCTATAACAGATGTTGTGAATCTACAGCCCTCCAGATGTTGTTGCCGTCCAACTCCCATCAGCCCCAACTGCATACTCAATTGTCAGGGATGGTGACAGCAGAAATATAACAACATATGGAGGGTCACAGGTTAACCATCGCAATGTAATCAAAACCCATGGCTTCTTGTTCCTTCTCCAGCATTTCTGGTAGGCTGTTTTTTATCCAAAACAAACAAAAGAATCAGTTTTACACACTGATTAAACAGCAGTGTTTGAACAAAGAAGTTGATGGTAATAAACTTAAATAAACTTATTCTTGAAGAAATTCCTTACAGTGCTATTTGATGCTTAACCCTTTGGCAGCTCCTCAGACTGTTTAATTTTATTTAACCTACACAATGTGTGATAAGCTGAATTCATGCATCAAGGATGCTGTATATATTAAAAAGAATAGACCACTGAAGAAGCCTAACAAGCTGAAGCATGTTTGGCATTCCAGTTATCCAGAAAATCTGAAGGGTGAACATAATATACTGGCATTTTAGCTATCTAAAGTGCTGCTCTAAATAAACATAAGTATAACTCATGCACTGTAAAGAGGATTTCTTTGTATCCAGATTATTGCATAGTTCTTTATCCATTGTGGAAATATTACTGTGGCATATGTTCTGTTTATAGATTTGTGCCTCTTAGTTATTGTATTAGAGAGTTTTCCAGATTTTTTGCTTATTTCCATCTTTTTTACTACCAATTTCAACTTCATTTTAATGTAATAACATGTTGTTATCACAAAAAAGGAGGCCAGAGAGGAGCAGGCAGCAGCAGTGTAGTGGCATGGCAGCATGTGTGGTGTGTGGTGTGGTGGGGAGGGCAAAACCATAGGGTTGTGGGTGTGGCTGAAGACATGGAGGGGTCTATGGCCATGGCAAAGGGGCGCAGCAGTGAATAGCGAACTCCATACAACTGGATCTGCTGCCTGGGGTAACTGCCTCCCTGTGCTGGCCCTGCCTTATTCTTCCTTCAGTTATTACCAGCATCAACCAGTTATGACTAGTTTTCAGATTGTCCAGTGTTAAAGGGGCAAGACTGTCCTTTCCTTGACTTCAACATAATAAACACTGAAAGAATTTGTAATTCTTTGACTGGAAGCAAATCTGATTTTATCCCAGTAAATATATTAGGAGCAGAAAGAATATACCCATCTAACAAAATTAGAAATATGAGTAGTACAAAGTTCAGTGACATTTACTTACATGTATTCGTGTCACGTCGGTGACATCATCCAAATACTTCAGTGTCCCATTGCCCTTGCTTTCCCCCAGAAACCCCAAACTTTTCAGCTCTGGAGAATAGAAATGAGGACCTAGATGAATACCAATATTAATGCGACACATTTGTGTTTTACTGATGAGGTGCCCTAAAGGGGAGACAGAAGGTTTACAGACAATGCTTCATAAGTGCTTTACTGTGTGCTGGATGGAAATTATTCAAAATGGCAGTGGCACTTCTGCAGTGGCCCCTAAATGTAGACCCTGGCATGCCTTTTGCTGGGCTAGAATTCCCATCACCCTTGACCATTGGCTATGCCACAACATCTGGAGAGCTACAGGCTTCTCACTCCTAATGTAGGCTTTTCATTCAATCTCCTTGGGTGGGGGCGGGGAGAATAGGTTTTCCTGGGTGCTGACTTGATCTTCCTTCTCATCTTTCCTTCTTCTCTGTACCTTTCCTGCTGTGGCTGCCTTCTCTTCTCTCCACACTCTTCTCTTCCCAATGTCTCCTAGACTAGACTACAGAGAGTCCCTCTGCCATTTCCCTGGATTTAGAGAAGAGTGGGAGATGTTCTGAATTAAAGAAATTCCTCTCCTATTTTTAAGAGAGAGCAGATTGCTAGCAGGCTTGTTCTGGGAAGGGGTTCAAATTACTGCAGTTCCCACTACTCTTTTTAAAATGTGCATGTTTCTTTAGTGCCACAACATTCCCAAGAGTTTCTAGGAATGAGGGAGATCACTTGCAAATGTGCTTTCACTATCCCACCATTTCTTTCTTTGGTGTATTATATTTTATTTTGCACAGAAAAGATGGGAGACTAAAAACAACAACATAGTGCAGACTGGCAGTGCAATTCAACAGATGTCTACTCAAAACAGAACCTCACTCAACTCAGTTGCACTTGCTCGCTGCTCAGCTAATTGTGTGAAGATTGCAGAAAAGCAATCAATAGTGGCTAGAAACATAAGGAGCTGCCCTATACCACAGTGGACCACTAGTCCATCTAATTCAGTATTAACTCTGAGTAGAGTTACTCTGAGCTCTCCAAGGTTTCAGACAGCAGCCTCTTCCAGGGATTGAACCTGGAATCTTCTGCAGGTACATCACGTGCTCTACCACCACTGAGGCTCTGACACCCCTCCTCAATTTGTTCCCCTTCCTAGGACAATGTTGCAGGAATCTCTATTTTGGCTCCAAATAAATAAATAAGCTAAAATAAATGGAATAAATGTGAACTGGCAAACCATTATTGAAAAGTAGTGGGGCAAGGGAAGTTGCAGGATATCTGATGGTTTTCAAACCAGGTCCAACTTTTTAATCCACATTAGGATTAAACCCCATTAGGTTTCTCAATAGTGCTTTGCCAGTCCATACTAGAAAGTCTGTGATGAAATTGCCTTTTCAGTGGAAAAAGAACAGCTACAAATTAGGTCTCAAAAAGAGTGGGTGTGGGAAGACAGGAAACAGTGGAATGCAGTGATTTCGCAGCAGCAGCTAGTGAGTAAATGAAAGATTCTTGATTAATTGCTTAGTATGGAAGGCACCCAAGGAGCTAGTCAGGAAGGATTAAGATAAAGATCACCCAAATTGGCTGTTTCTCTTCCACTTGGCAAGGGGCACCCATTTTTCTCCAATTTGTAAGCAGTGCTTTAATTTCATGGTTTTTGTTTTGTAAACCTTACTTATAAGTGAAGGTTGGTAAACATGTTAAAAAGTTTTTCACAATCTTCTATAATAAATGGGACTGGTTTCAATGGAGGAGCTAAAGCACATGTTTCATTATCTCCCACTGAAACGGAGAGACTTTAAAGCTATCCAAGTATAGTTGGATTGAGGCTGTTTTTGGACAGAAATTGCCATATAATATTTTGAAGATAAGCAAAGACTACTTTGAAAAGCAACATTCAGAAAGCAATGGCTTTTTTTTTTAGCACCCCATCTTTAGATAAGCCCCCAATCATCCTAACAAGTACGCCAAGCCACAGATATCAGAAGGCCCTTTCAAAGAACTCTTGCTCAATCAGCTGATGATCTTCAGTAGCCCCATTAAAAGGGTTGGGCAAAACAGCATTTTGAGAGATGCTTCTGAAGAAATATTCACCAGCCCCTGACAAAGCTCTGCCTTGCCCTATGCTTTGTTAAATCTTCAGAAGCTTCATTTAATCAGCTCCTTAAATTGAGCTTCTGGAGATCCAACAAGGTGTTGCTAGCAGTGCTTTGAATGGGACTTCTGCAGACCCTTGGGGGGGGGGGACTGGTCACTGTGACATCAGATGACTGACAGATAGGAAGTTTCACCTACCTGTGAAATTCGGGGAGATAATAATCTGGCCCTCTGGGCTAGAAAGGTTCCCCACCTCTGATACAGGGGAAGGGTAAACATGTTACAAACCTAATTTCTCAGTTACGTACATACAAACCTAATTTCTCAGTTACGTACCTTGTGTAATATTGTCAAAAAGGGAGAGCACACGGACTGGTTTTTTATCCCATGTCTGCAAAGGCTGATATATCCACAGATGGTTCTAACACAATTGATAAAAAGATACATGTTTGCATAAGATGTTGTTGTTGCTGTTGTCAAAACTTGTCGAACACGTAGTATGTGATTTTAGTTATTACATGTATTAAAATGAAGACTTTTTATTAACTGGGTATCAACAGGCTTTGACAGCACTCTATAAATCAATGAATTATTAATTATATTTAAAATGTATTAAATTATTTCTATCCCACCTGCCTGGGAAATATATAAATGCTACTCTGATCATATCAGAGCCTTTCGATAATGGAATGATGTGCTGCTGTGAGCACATTCACAAATACAAGGGTTCTACTACATCTATATCAAGTTGTAACAGGGATGCAGGTGCTATTTAAGTCACAGGTAGCTTCAGCACCAGGGCTAAGAAATGCAAAACAACGTTAACAATGCAATGCAGAAACAATCACCATATGATTTCCACAGCTTAAATAATGTTGACCACTCAGTACTTGCATTTGGGGCCAGTAGCAGTTAAATCCCTGCAAAATAATAAGCTATTGAGGTTCTCCTAACATATATGACCTTGAGATTCATGGATCCATCCTCAGGGCAAATGTCCACCGTGCCTTCCTTGGCGATACAGAAGAACATGAGAAGAGCCCTTCTGGATCAGGCCAAAGACCCGTCTAGTCCAGCTTCCTGTTCTCAGAGAGACCAAGCAGGTGCCTATGGGAAGCCTGAGCAGGACCTGAATAGAACACACTCTCCCAACTTGCAGTTCCCAGCAACTAGCCTTCGGAGGCATACGGTGGAGAAAGAACTTAGCCATATTCTCCAAGAATGTGTCTAACTAAAGGCAAATGTGGCACCGCTACCCATTGCTAGATCCCTTGGGAGAAGTTCTTTGGAGGTTATTAGAAATTTATCATTGGGGAGAGACCACATTGCTGATGAGTGGACAACATGTATCAACTGCTTTGCCCTTCAGGCAAAGGACGTAATAAATGCTCTCTTCTTATGCAAGGACTCTTCCCCCCCCCCAACCGCTGCCACACACTTCCTTACAGCAGGCCAAACTGCCTCTCTGTTCAATTCACTACTGGCTACTCACACTCACAGTGGCTTTCCTGATACTTATTCCTTCCTCTGACTTTCTTTTCTCTAGGATGGCATTAAAGGCTTATGAGAAGGGCCACAGGTCAGGGCCCCAAAGCACATGCATCATATGGCAAATGGTTGATGTTCAAACCTCATCATCTTCAGATAGGTCTAGGAAGGGCTCCTGATGGCTGCCAGTCCGTGTTGGCAATACCAAGTCAGAAGAGCTGAGCTGCCCTGCTGCTTCTTACTTGGACAGGCTGAAGCCTCAAGGGGGGTGGGGTGGGATTTGTGGTTGGACTTGCAGGAACCCCACCAGTCAATCTGGCACTCCTTCTAGTGCGACTGCACAGCTCCAGCCTCACTGGCACACCAGCCCAGGCCTCTCCAGGTAAGCCGCAGTGATGCTGGTGTCGGGAGGGTGGCTCTGCCTCTCCATATGCACCACTACTAGTGAAAAGGAAAGCAGAGATTGGGGCTGCTTGGCATAAACCTCCAATTAACAGGGTCCTCTCTCCCCGCCCCCTTTAAAAATGTCATTTTAGTAAAGGACCATGCAGTGTTTCAGATCAGTTGAAATAGTTTTGCTGCCACCTGCTGGAAACGGAGCATCTAGTTTAAGTTACCGTACTTTTCGCTCTATAAGACACACCAAACCATAAGACACACCTAGTTTTTGGAGGAGGAAAACAAGAAAAAAATATATTCTGAATTCCAGAAGCCAGGACAGCAAGCGGGATTGCAGCTCAGCGATCCCGCTTGCTGTCCTGGCTTATGGGATAGCCGCACAGAGCCTCTCCCAGGCAGCGGCATGAATTCTCCCCCTGGCCGGGAGAGGCTGCGCAGGAGAGGCTAAGGCTCCCCCAAGAGCCGCACTCCCTTTAAAGAGTGCGTGGAGTGTGTGTGCGGCTCTTGGGGGCCCCAAGAGCCGCACACATGCTCCACGTGGCTCTTTAAAGGGAGTGCTGAGCGGAGCCTCCCACCTGCATTCGCTCCATAAGACGCACACACATTTCCCCTTACTTTTTAGAAGGGGAAAAGTGTGTCTTATAGAGTGAAAAATACGGTAGTTCTTTTTCAGCCAATTTTGCCAAGGTGTAGTGGTGGCAGAAGTGGTGGTAGGTGGGGCACGGGGGGCGGGCAGGAGGCAGCATTTCCTATTTCACCTCAGATGGCTTCCCCTGACCCCCAGCCAGCATGGGCAATGGTCAGTGACCCTAAGACTGGTAGTGCAACAGCATCTGGTGGTCCATAGGTTGCCCACTTCTGCTGCTGAAAAGTGACCCAGTTAATACAAGGATCTGCAGCCCTTTGACTTGTTGCTGTATACATCTGTAAAAGGCAACGGAACTTTCCCTTACAGACTCTTGATCGTAGAAGCGCTTCAGTTCTGCACGCCATCTTCTCTTCCTCTTGAGTAGACCATATGCTCGCTGTGGTGCACACAGGAAACATATCCAGGGAGACTTCTTTTTTATCTCGTCTGAGAATCCTGAACACACGAGGCTATCCATGCATTCTTCACAAAAACACCTGCATTGTTGAAACAGACAGCTATGATTTGAAGGCATTTTTACATTTTACATTTCAAATATTTGTCATACATCCAAAAATTTCGCTGCTGTTTCACACAGGGACTTGTTCTTGCTGGAGTTCTGAAAATTATCCAGATGGGGGAGAGGCATCTAAATAGGAGTGCTGCATGTTTTTTGATGTGGGGAGAGCTCACACATTTCACTACAAGGAAAAACATGTGAGCATCTATGTTAGATTTTATACCAGCAATGCAAAAGCAGAAGTATGGGTGACTTGCACTTCCTTTCCTCCCACTTATTCATAATTTCTGAGTGAGCCCTGGCTAAGGACCTGATTTAGACAAAACTGACTTAGATTAAAAGGTTATGGAAGTTTGAAGCTGAGGGTTGGTGCACAGGAAACTGGGCAACTGGACACTCAAATGAGTTGCTCTATGATACTCTTATCTCCACTCTGTATCCCTGCATCACAATGATTCACATCCTAGAATAGAGCAGTTGTGCCCCACAGAACATCTCATTCCTTTACAGTACCACAGGGACCCAACCCAAGAACCAGGCGGATTTAGGGGAGTGTAACTGGTTCGATCATGCTGGGATGTGGGTGGCACTGTGGGTTAAACCACTGAGCCTAGGACTTGCTGATCAGAAGGTCGGCAGTTTGAATCCCCACGACGGGGTGAGCTCCCATTGCTCGGTCTCTGCTCCTGCCAACCTAGCAGTTCAAAAGCACCTCAAAGTGCAAGTAGATAAATAGGTACCGCTTTATAGCGGGAAGGTAAACAGCGTCTCCGTGTGCTGCTCTGGTTCACCAGAAGCGGCTTAGTCATGCTGGCCACATGACCTGGAAGCTGTACGCTGGCTTCCTCAGCCAATAAAGCGAGATGAGCGCCACAACCCCAGAGTTGGCCACGACTGGACCTAATTGTCAGGGGTCGCTTTACCTTTACCTTTAACTGGTTCGATCACACTGGACACAGAGCCTGGGGGTGTTGCAGGGGGCTCCACAAATATGAAAGCGAGAGGCACAACTGAACTACTGACTTTGGCTTGTAAGGCTGTGCCCCCAACCTCACTTCCCTGGAAGTATGTGTGATCAAATTCAAAAGGATATACTTTTGAGTAGGCATGGATAGAACCTCTGAGGCAGAAGATATTGTAGATATGCTCCACCAAGTGTAGGAGGAGTAGTCTGTTAGAGAGGTAAATATGCACATTCTATCTGAATATGAAAGCCAGGTTTTACGGCAAGAGCATTTGAATCCCATATCCAAAGGCGCTGCTGTAAACTCGAATGTGGTTTGGGAGGTCAGTTACCTGTTACAGGTTGGATCATCACACATTATGAGAGATTTGCTCCAGCAGCATATGGCACAATCAGTCTTGTACCCATCATTGTCACACAGGAAGAATCTCTCCAAAAGATGTTCCTTTTAAAACAGCAGCAGCAGAAAACTGCAGTTAGTTGTTAATAATGAGATTTAGCATTTCAACTGTTCCAAGCTCAGTACTTCTTAAAACAACCCTTTAAAGATGGCGGCCATCATTATTCTCCTAGAACAGATGATGGATCTGAGGTGGGGGAAAACATCTTAATTAAGGCCACCAAGGGAGTTTGTGGCTAAAGTGAGAGTTGAACTGGAGACTGCCAGCATCTTTTGGATGAGATGCATTTATTTTTGCTTTAGAATTTGGTGGACAATCTAACACTGGCTTTTCCAGCAATTCCTTGATTCCTCTTTTCCCCTTTATTTTTTAAAGAAAAGTTGCCCAGCCTGTTAGATAAAGGAAGTGTAGCATGTCTGACCCAAATCAGCTACTCACTGTGCATGGAGCACACATTCCTCCTTGAAACAAAGGGTGCTGAGTGCGAATCTCAAGGCTTCCACAGCATATGCAGATTTCTACCAAACACAAAAGATACACATCTTTCACTGTGTTTTTGGCATCAATTCCCAGAGCTTCCTGTATTTCTTAAAATAGTTCTGCTATTCAAATAATACACAATACATGAATACATAAAACACATGAGGAATGATTAAAATTATATTTTCCACTAAAATTCCAATAAAATTAGAAATATAATTGCTGATTTGCACTGATAATGCAAGAGGAAAAAAGCTGCCCTTGGGGAAAAAAGACATAGAAACAAACAAACAATAAGTAAACATTTCAAGAAAGGTATCCCTACACACAAAGAAAGCTGCTTTTCTTCGCCTATGAAAGAATATTTTTCTTAGGAGGACCATGCCTGTTCTCTTCTCATTTTCTCAATCAGTTGGTCAGGGGTTTTTTTAAGGATAATCAAGCATTTATATACAAGGTGTCCATACGCCCAATTGATACAGGGCTAAAAAGGCCTAGTATCGTTTATGAATTCTGAATTTCTTCTCAGTTCTACAATCTGGGATTGGGATGAATTGTGAAGAAGTATATGAAAGAGACAGTTTCTATCCCAATAAATGTGGATTTAAACAATCCATACATACTGCGTTTTTATCATGTAAGCCTGATTAATTGGGTAGTACCTTGTCACTCAACCAAAGGGGTTTATACCAATTAATCTCACTGGCTGACTAAACACTGAAGTCCTCCTAATAGCTATCTGTAGTAAAGACAGTTATAGCAGTAACAATTGCAACAAGTACCTTCAATATTTCTCTCCTTGAAGTTGACTTCATATGCAATGTTTTCTATGGAGGAAAAAAAATCAGGGTACTTTTCAGGCTTGCTTGCATTGTTAAATGTACAATCTAATCTGACTAGAACGTGCACTGGATTGCTCTTCCATGCTGTAGTCAACATTCATCACATGTGGCACAGACAGCATCAGAAAGAGCCAAAACTTTGTTTTTGTATCAGGCATGAAAGTCGTCTCTAAGATTACAATAAAAATAAGCTCAGCACCAGAGAGGGATGTGAATTATACTTGCTTTGAAACAGTGTGATCCTATACAGTTTATTAAGATGTAAGAAGCAAATTCGATGTCATTGCTCCCATGTAAATGGGTATAAGTTTCAGGATCACCAGTGGAGGCTGGTCCATTATGGCAGGGGCAGCACTGGCCCACCAACCTCTGTCTGCCACCAGCTGGCTCTGCCCTGCCTGTCCAGGAGGTGGTACTGGCTGCCAGTTTCCTCCTTCTTAGTATTGCTCCACCTTGAACTCTTCAGCAGGAAGAAGGATGGGACAAAACTCTGCCTGTAATTGGCTATGGCTCCATCCTCTGTTGGTCTCCCTACCTCCTGTCCTGTTATTATCAATGGGCACAAGGTTCCATTGAGACTCAGAGAGCAATTCTACTTAATAAAAATTAGCTAATGTATCTTATTTTTCTACACAATTCTTTATACATTGCCCCTTTCCCTTTATTATTCTGCAGTATTTTGAAACTTTCCTTCTACGTATCTTTTGCTAATTAGAAAGGCTTTTAGTTTCATTCAAAGGAAGAACAGCGATAGATGAGATAAACCCACCCTACAATCCCTTCCTCTACATTAGATGGTTTCACTTGTTTTTGTACCGCAAATTGGAAACAAACAGGTAGGTAAAGGGTTCATTCCCGCAGCAGATACAATCTATACTGGGGCACACAAATCTTCAGCTAGCATTGTTTTTAGCGCCTCTTGAAAACAAGATTACCTCTCCTTGGTTTGGGAGTGTTTGATTCCTCCACGGAACTTATAGAAATTACACCAGAACTATAGTTCTCCAATGATACAGCTGGATGTGTGGGGAGAGACAGAGAGACAGAATGAGGTACATGATGGCTATTTTTGAATGTGGCAAAACTGCAATAATATGTCTCAGCAAAAGCATTTATTGTAAATTGCTTTGGGTTGCATTGGCAAAACAGTGACTAATAAATTTAATACATAATGATGATGATGATAAATACCTGTATGTGTATGTTTGCATATAAACACAAACACTGTATTTAGAGACAGATACCCTGAGGCCCTCTGGATGTTGTTGGACTCCAACTTCCACCATCCCCAGCCAGCATGGCTAATGGTTAGCTGCCTGGGCAGGCCAGGTCTTCCTGTTATATACCTGCTGGGATTGACAAGGCATCTGACCCTCGTCTGAATCTCATAGCTCTCCTGATGAGTGCTTTGGTCTGCCCACCAGATACCAGGCACTCTACTATTCAAATTAGGCCCGAGTGTTTTTTGTTACAATCCCCTTCTCAATTAAGTAATCAATTTTAATCTAGAATTTAAATTCTCAAAACTTTATTATTTGTTAATTCGAGCAAGTAAACTACTGTTCTCACTTCATTACAAACAGTATTTCTACCTGCAACACACTTGAGCAAACCTGCTCCTCTTCCTTTCACAGATATTTTGTTGCCATTTGCAACTGTAGCTGCCTCTGATTAGTTATCATTTAACTCTTGGGGGAAATAATTAGCATTTGATGTCATGTGCATTGGGGAAAATAATTAGCATCACATGTCAAGTTGCCGAACCAATTAACCAACTAGAAGGATTACTGTTAATAGCACCAGTTTTCCTATAACTTGATATTGCTGGATAGTTTTGATGAACTGCAAAAACACATTTAGTTTGCTTTCTGTTGTCACCCTGGAACTTTTCTTTATTAGTGCCACTTTGTTTTGTACGATTCCTTGCAAATGAAGGGAAACAACTTTTCTGGACCGGACTTTGGACATGGCTGCTCTTAGCAGTGTATGCATCAGAATAAATAAGAGTGTACCCAGATGGGGAATGTCTTGCTGGAGATCCCTGACTACTGAATTTAGCTGTCCAAATCAGGGCAGTGAATATTGGCAAGACTTCCTTGCACTAGAGAAGTGGTGGCAGTAGGTGGGTGGGGAAATTATACATAAAAAGACATTATAAGGTCTATGCAACTTTGCTAGTGAAACACTTCTGTACTGTTGAAAGGATCTAGCATGGTGCTATCATTTGAAAATAACAATCTACAAGAAGCTAAAAGATTTTAAAAGAATCTTTTTAAAAAAATAAAGTTCAAAGAATGCCACAAGAAAAGGAGTCATCACAGCCAAGTTTGGACTCTGGAAGTGCTGCACTAAGGTACCAAAACAGAGGGACAAAAGGCAAGTCTTCTTTCTAGAGTTGTTCTTCACAGCACCAAGTTTTGTTACAGATCCATAACCTGTTTCCATGGTCATAACTTTTAAATTCTTATTGAACTGTAATTTCATTACTTGTGCTTGGCCTTAGGGTACTTGACTGAGACATTTCTTCCGCAGAACTGATGGAAATGATATCAGGGAAACTTCCTCCATTGGATGATGGAGCTGAGAGAGAGAGAGAGAGAGAGAGAGACAGAGAGATCAGAGCAATATGGGAGCTGTGACCTTTCTGACTTACCCAGCTCATGCTGACTGCTCCAGCAAAGTTGAATGGGCTGGGAAACAGTGCAGCTTGAAACATTTCAGACATATGTACTTGAAAATTGTTATTTATGTTTTAAATAGTAGGTTAAATTGTGGAGGTTATACAAGGTGCACTCTTTATTGAGCATTCATTCTGATTCATATGCAAGGAGGTTATGCGTCTTCCCGACCGGGTGGTTGTTGGTGCCAGGCATGGGTGTGTGGCAGCTGCTTCCAACCTGGTGCATCCCTTGTCCCTGCTGCCACGCTGCCCAATCCTAGTTTCAGTGGGCACCATCACAGCTGGTAGACGGGGCAGTGGTGGTGCACCATCTTATATCCCATGGCTGGCATCTGGTCAATTCCCACAGATTTCAGTGGGAACTAAGTGCAAATTAAGGTACACAGTAGTATACTTACAGTGCTACAGTTCCCAGCACCCTTTACAAACTACAGTTCTTATTCTTATTCTTATTTGGGTGTGCTGTGTGCTCTAAACGTTTTGTAAACACATGGTGTGTAGGAAGCCTTCGTCTGGATCTAAGTCCATGGGTTCGTGTGATTTCCTTATGGTGACCAGGCCATCGGTTTCATCGCTCTCATCAGCTTTATGCAAAGGAGTGGATCTGGGTCTGCTCCAAGAGATCTTCCACTCACCTGCCTCCGAGAGGCTGCCCATTTCCCCGGAGTCACTGTCCAGCACCACGGCCATCCCTGCAGCAGACGGCGACCTCGCCAGGAGCGTTTGGGGCGTGTCCGGATCGTCGGGCCGACGGAGAATGAAGACCTTGGATGGAAGAGCCGAAGGGAAGCTGCGCTCCCCAAGGAGATCCCTGAATCAACTGGTGCAAAGGAAACCCCCACAGCGTTTTACTACGGGAGCAATAATGTGGATTGTTACATATGTATAAAAGAAATCGTGGATTTCCCATTAACTGGCACAGGAGCCAGCTCCAAAAGACCTAGGTCTCTTGGCCCCCCCATAAAATATTTGACGCCCCCCCCCCAAATGATGGGCATTGCCATTCAAATAGTGTGTGTGCGATCAATTAGGTGGGGCGGGGCTTACTTGCCCCCCCCCTATTTTATTAAAGTTGGCACCCCTGTCCAGAACGCAGGAGCCACACGGAGAAGGAGCCGCGCGCGCCTTCCAGAGAAATTGCTCGCGCCAACGCTTCGCTCCCTTTCGTACTCCGGATCAACGTGGCAATCCAGTGCATAGCTATAGACTTCTGAGTCCCATAGAACTCCGTGGGACTGATGTTGGATGAGAAGACGCTGAAGACGGGGCTGTCGGTTGACCTCCTAAATGAATGAATGAATGAATGGAGGGTCACCATTTAAAGCAGGGAGCAACATCCGTTGGACTCAGTCCTAGCCAGCCAGGTCAGGGAAGCTGCAGTGCAACAAACCCTGCATGTTCTCAGCACAACAACCGTCTCTTTTATACCACGTGTTTCTAGAGACAAACTAACTTTTGGGTTCAATACTGACGATCTCATTCACGAGCGGGGGTCCTCGTGGCTATTGCGGGGCCACGCCTCCCCTCCCCTCTTGCCACGCGCACCGGGGCTGGTGAGAGCTGGCCCTCGACAGCACCCTGGAAGGCCACGGGGTCGCGCTCCCCCCCTCCAAGTGATGCACACTGTTCTGAGCCTTTCACACGTGTCAGAGCACAGCTTCTTTCGCACCTCCCCCGGTAGCCCTGTCCTATTCCCCGAGGGGAAAGGCACAGCCGATTTGCACCCAGGTGGTCAGACAGCCTGCCGTGAGCCCCACTTGGGATGCGCTTGGTACCCAGTGAAGTCGATGGCGAATCTCTCGCCGTCCGTTCAGACGTATGCAGATCAGATGGCACCTTCTTCGGGCGCTTCACCTGCCTCTGAATATAGCTTGTTTCAGTTGGCGTCCCCCGGCTTCAATTACAGACCGCGAACCCTGGACAAGTAAGATCGGGTCCATAAGGCACGGTCCATTCCATTTCACCAGAATCCAGAGGATCACTCAAGTCAAAGCAGGTATCTGGCAACCCCTTTTCTGTACTGTATCGAAATCCACGGCTGCAAAAATAGAAGCGGAAGGGTGACGTTCGCATGCCCCCTAGTGTCGCAGTGCGGAAGCACACGCCCTAATAAAGGTAAGGGCGTTTGTGACTAATAATAATAATATTAATAATAATAATATCAGGGGTGTTTGAAGTTGTAGGTTTCTCCAGCCCTGCGCACACAAAATGATGCTGACAGGACTTTGGGGCTCCACTCAGAAGAATGAGCACAAGCCTCCCAAAGGCACCAGGGATGGATTGCATCATTTTGAAGTAAGCGAAGTAAAACACTCATTGCTATCTAAAGGTGTGAGCAGGTGAGACCGTCAAGTCTAGAGGCTGAAATGTACTAGGTGCACCACTGCCTGTGAAGCTCGCTTTCAATTTTTCTTAGCATGAAGAATGAACTAGCTGACAATATTCACCTGTCGATGGGAAAGAAGCTTTAATTCCTCATCAAAGACACTCAACTCCTTTGCCTGTTAATAGCTTCACCTCCACTGGTGAAGATTGCCAAAAGCTCTTTGTGAAATGGCTGTGGGCAATGGGGTGTAGAATTATCATATTGATTGATAGATACACTCAGTGCTTTTTTCTGATGGGATGCAGGGGTACGCATACCCCTAAACATTTTGTGAATCTAAGTTTGCCCTCATTGAGGGGCAGTATTTCAATATTCGTAGGAAAATTAGTAGTACTCCTGGACTTTTTTTTTTAAAAGCACTGGATATACTTTTATAATCTCTTATAAACATAAATGACCATATTAATTAATTTTATGGTTTTTTAGACCTGAAGCTTCCTTTGTATGTTTTAGGTGCATTTTGGCTAGCCACATAGAATAGCGGAACATGTTATAGTTTTGACAGTAGAACTGCCTACCAAATACTAGACGCCAAGGCTGATTTCCATAACACAATTACTAAGGAGTCAGCCCCAGTGAAGACAGTGAGATGTACTTCTGAGTTAGCATGCATAGGACTGCACCATAAAGGCAAGATTGCCACAGATCAGAGAATCTCTCTGGCCACAGTTGCAAATGCATCATGAAATTGGAATCCAGCACTCTCTGTTAATATTCACTGTCCTTTCCCCTCCCTTCTCTTCCAGCCATGAAGTACAGGGAGCACAGAACACTGCCCTTGATTTGATAGGTTTCTCTGCAGCATTTTGTGGGACTTCCACTCAGCGGGAGAAGTAAATGAGGCCGAAATAAACTACAGTGGCCGGATTATAGTCTTCATCTGAGTTATTGCCAACCTGGCGTGGAGTAATGTATCAGTCCAGTGGAGTGCTGTATCATTATGCTGTATTTTATCTGGCACTGGAGTTTGGGACTGAGTAATCCGAAGCAATTGTGTTCAGTCCCATGTTTGCTACAAAGCGGTTTCCTAGCCAACATGTAAAGTACTCACTGGGAATGGATGAAACAGTGTGGCACTCCTATTTGAAATCTGCAGCCATCGAAGCAATTGGCATTTGGAGTGAGCAGAAGCATGTTACCTGGGACGAGCTTGTGATTCAACTGCTAGGCCATATCAAGGCAAATTCTAAGCCAAGGAATGGAGGGAGGGAGCCTTGAAACACTCACAACAGGGCAGAGGCTTATAAAAATGGCACTTACAGTAGATTGTATAGGTTGCTTGGAAAGACTGAACTCGGTTGATCCATCCTTCACCTTGAAATTGGCTTCTTCTTTTTGTAGAACGTTCTTTTCTGTTTTGTATAATGTTCTGTTCAGGGTGAAGGATGGGGGTGGGGAACCCTGCTGATGCATATCTGAATCCCAGTTTCATATAATGTATTTGTATTTATTGCCTGCTTTTAAATTTCTACAGGTAATTGATGAATCTTCATATTTACTCTTTTTTTGACACCCTTCTTGAGTATTTCTTCTAACAATGAACTCAGCTGGTGAGTGCCCTCAGAAGTACAGGGGAGTGCAGTGGGATGTCCTTGCTGGCTGCACCACTGAACACTCCTTTTAGGAGAATATCTTTTTAGCTCCAAAGTAGTGGAGTGTCTCTCAAATTGTGTCTACTTGAGGGAGGCACCTGTATGAAATGATGACAAGTAGGTGGGGGAGGTCAGAGGGAGAGGAGCAGCACAAAGGGGATAGGCATGAAAAGAAGGGCAAGTGGTAAGTCCACAGTCCGCCTAGGGGCAGTTTAAACTCTGGTGCCACCTGTTACAACTCACTGGAAAAGCTTAGTAGACTTTTCTATCAAGGGTTAGTTGGGGAGGCCATTTATTCATGGGCAAGGTTTTGTAACATGCAGTTGCAAACATACGTGCCAGCTCCCTGGGGCCCTGGGTGCCCAAGCACACACAAAATTTCCCATTAAGGGGCTGGGCACCCACAAATTTAGGTGACAGGGCCGTCCACACTGCATGGCACCCATGGCCCTGGGCACCTACGGTTGCAGGGCCAAGCTGGCACTCCTGGTTGCAAAAGGTTATGTGAAACCTGGAATATTCCAAGAAAGATGGTACCCATTTCTGAGGTATGTCAATCGTATACATCCTAAACTCAAACACGTTCAACAGTTCCGGATTGTTATAAGAGCTCCCTGAGCTACTAACATAAAATAATGACAGTTTATAGATTTTGTGAGGACTCTACACGTATTTTCTTATAACATGTTGTGTTTGGTCTGTGTCACCACATGATGGATTCTATATAAAAACAATGTTGTTTTTTTAAAAAAATAAAATAAAAGCAATAGTTAGTGCTCTTAGAGACAATCAGCTAATTAGAGGACTACAGTGGCAAGTATGGCAGGCAACAGGAAAGCCTACCTCAGGAATGAGGATCCTGCTGACTCTCCAGATGTTGTTGGACTTCGACTCCCATGAGCCTTACCTAGCATGGGGAAGATAGTGTCTGTGTGTGTGTGTGTGTGTGTGTGTGTGTGAGAGAGAGAGAGAGAGAGAGAGAGAGATAGGAAGTTGTAGACTGAGAACATCTAGAATGTTCCTCATCCCTGGCCTTGCTTATGGCAGGTGTGGAGAGCCTTCTTCAGCCTGAGGGAGGCATTCCCTTCTGGGACCATGAGCCAGTGATGGGTGTGGCCAGAGGGGAAAGTGCTCAGAGCAATAAATAGAATTCTTACCTTTGTACAATAGGGTAGCGTGGTGGGCAGGAATGCCTCACGTTGGGAGGACACACAAGGACCTGTCTGAGCCAGGTCCCAGCAGGGGGAAGACTGAGGAGGGGGGTAGAGGAGAGGAGGCGAGATGTGAGGGAAGGAGAGGGAGGAGGCAGTGAGGGAAAAGGGAATTTGTGCTGCCGAGGAGGAGAAAAGGGAAGAGTAACCTGACGGAAGAGTTTGGGGCTGTTGACCCATGTGACATGTCGGTAAGAAGGAGGGGGGTGCAAAGGTAGGCAGGAGAGGAAACCGTATGAGGGGAAACAGGAAAAGAAACTGTATAAGGGAAGAGAGTGGTGAAAAGGTAAACAATAGACAATAGACTGGGGAACAGGAAGGGCAGGGGGAGAAAAAAAAACAAGACAGGACATAAGACGTATGTGAAACCAAACAAACTGCCCTGTGACAGAAGGGAGAAACCAAACTCTTTAAGTAAACAAAGGGCTCTTGAGAATAAGAGACCACTTGGGGTTCTGAGGACGTCTGTTTTCTACACACACTCAGGGCTCACCCAGACTTGCACTTGTCCCGTGCTGAGAAAGCATGGGTCCAAGTGGTTTTCTGCTTCTCTAACGCTTTCTAGGCCACAGGTCTGAGTGGTTTTGTCTTTGCCCCATAACTTTCCCCTGGCAAACCTGCTCTTTAGCGCTAAATCAGAGCAAACGTCAATCCAGAGAAAAAGCAATTGACGTTTGCTCTGAGAGGAAGTGGCAGGGCAACAGCAAGTCTGGAAGAGCCCTCAGAGAACCCTCTTTATCCCCCATCCAGGCAAGCAAGGAGCATTAGAGTTCAAGGACACATTCCAGTCAGGAGGGTATGAAACAGGCCTGGTGATGCTTGTGGCCTTGGGAGGAAAGAAAGGCCTGGGGGGCCACATTCAGTTCCCCAGGCCTGAGGTTCCCCCCTGCAGCTACTGATGATACTGCCAAACCTTTGCTTTCATTAGACCAGCATTCTCTGCAGGAGCACCCCTGATTATTTTGACCCTTGGTTGTTGTTATTACAATTTGTATACTGCCCTGTACACATAGGTCTCAGAGCAGTTCACAACACAAGTTACAACACACAAAGGCAGATGGTAAGGGTAGGGCAGATGGGGGCTGGTGGAGGTAGACTTAGGCTGGTGGGGTAGTGCCCATTTTCTTTAATGGACAAGCCTCTCTTGCATAACTGCTGATTAATTGGGCCTGGTAACGCCATCAGCTCAGTGTTTCCATGGGGCCCTGTCCTGACTCATCAGGTCAGTCTGATGCCTGCTCTGATTCACCAAGATCCAGGTCAGTCAGCCCAGCGGAAGCTGGCTTGCTTTCCAACAGAAGAGGGAGCTCAGGACCACCTTTGACTGAAGAGCTGGGCCAGGTTCCACAGTTGCCAGACCATGTCCTAAATGAAAGAGAATGTTTCATCATATATGCTTCTAGCCAGGCAGTCACTAAATACACAGTAAAAGTGATTCATCAGCCATTAAAAAAAAGTTGTGAATGAGTCACAGGGTTTTATTTTTGTCATTTCTAGAAATATACTAATCCATATTTCCTGGTGAGTCTTTGATGCAACCACAATATTTAAAGGACTGCTACTTCACTGCTGTACTTTTTTTCCACAGCCATGTCCTGTTTAATGTTTCATAACTTAGGAGGAATATTATTATTCTTCTGCTTCAGGGGAAGGATATTTTCTAGAGCTGGCACCCAGAAGTGAAGTACCAAGGTGTGGTTTTGCCCCTTGGTGAGTTGGTCTAACCCTCGGCTTTGTAGGCTACAAACCTATACACACTTACCTGTGATAAAGTTCTTACTCAGTAGGTCTTACTTACGAACTGACATGGTTGGAATTGCATTGCTAAATGGTTGAGAGGAATAAAAATATCTCCTCATTCTGGATCTCTTTCAGCCACCTTCTCTTGAAAAAAACCAAACACATTTTCATTCTTTCCTGTCTGCTTCAGTTTTGTTTTCAAGAAAATCTTGGAGAATGAAAACAATAATAATTTGGAATATTTTACTCTGGGTATAAGTGGTTCACTTGCTGTTCCTCATCAATGAAAGTGTTCATTATGAGTCCCTCTCTAGCTAGTCCAGGATCTCATAATCATTTCTTTGTTTGGGTGCAAAGCCCAGTCACTTTTCACCTGACAGCCTCTCAGTTTCTTCATATGTGACAGGAGCATTTGAAGTTCACAACTTTTTACTGAGAAATAAGGTCCCACATCCTTTTAAAATAATGTTTGTTGGAGCAAGGCTTCCTTCCTTTGACACATCTTTTGCTACCTCCTGTTCCTGGTATTTGGGCCGGTTTATGGGCCGTTCCTTCCAGAAAAAACTCTTTAAAAGGCTTTGAAGTGAAGTGTGCACTTGGTGCACATCACTAACATTCTCAATGCCAGTGCTGCTTCACATGCACAGGAATAAACATTTCACTAGATGGTGCTCAAGCACCAGTAATCTATACAGTAGTTATTCTTTCCCTTTCAGGACAGCATAAGAAGATGGTTTTGTTTATGAGGGTTGAATAACAGTTTTGGTTAAGCTGCACCTACAGGGTGGGAGTTCTCCCATTTGCAACAACAGTCTTTCCATTTTACACTTTGTTTTTTGTGCCTAAACCGTTGTATACTGAATACTGTGTTCTATGTTGTTGTTTTCTTAAACCCCCCAATGTTTCACAGTTGTTTCACGCATGTCTTCTCTTGTATCCTGTCAAATTCCAACTGTATGACCAAACGTCTTGAGACGTTTAACAGCTCTAATCTTGAGTGTTTTAACAACAGCCACAAAAGAATCATATGCTTGCGCAAATTACGACATCTCCATGGCCAAAACATTATCTCATGCAGATCCAGACATGACAATACTTAATGTTAAACCCTATTACAGACTTTATTAAGTACTCCCTTAGGATGCTGGGCAGAGCTGCGTATTCCTGCTGATTGTAGTTCAGAAAGGGCAAACCAGGCTTATTCACGCAAAGTGTGTCAGTCTAGACAGCCAATGTTTTCTTAACCCAGAAACCACGGAAAGCAAGCAGAGCCTTTTGCAAACGTGGTGTCCCACAATCAAAGCTCTGGCCAAGCCAAGCTTGTTATGAATGAATGACTGAATGATCAATGCACCAATTACTTTTCTCTAAGGAGTAGAAATTTTATATTGATTGATGGAGCTCTTTTTTGAGTTTTGGCCAGGAAGGTATTCTCCCAAGTAATGATTTTATGAATGCAACTGGGAATGATTAGTTTGTTCATTATACACTAGGTGTGGGACCCGGTGACCCTCTAGATATTGTTGGATTCCAACTCTCATCAGTCCCAACCCACATGATCAATGGTCTAGAATGATGGGGACTGCAGCCTGACAATATCTGGAGAGCAACATGTCCCTCATCCCTGTTGTGTATATCCTCAATCTCACTTTTGCATGTCCACTCACATGCATGTGTGCACTCACCCACATGTACACATATTTTTACAGGGCACCTGCAAGTTTTGAAAACAAATGGGACAGTGATCCACTGATATTCCATTTCTTCCTCCTTGCATTCAGGTATTACCAATATCTTGAACTGTTAGAATTTGAAAGGTAAAAATGAAAGACGTATTCCCACACCATATTGACCATACTTTCCCCCTCTTTGTTGGAAGTCCTAACAGGTCAAAATATGTTCTTTTTTTAAACACAATTTTAATTACTTTATTATCATAAACATATTATATTGGAGCAATCTTAACAAGGGGTTGGGGAGGCACAGAGCAACAGGCTAAACCATAGTTTAATGTTACATGCAAGAGTGTTGAGTTTGCGTACTTCT